CATCTCTACTCAAGAAAAGAGACACTAATCAAAGCTGAATAATGACACAGAAAAATGAAGACTTTTCTCCTCATCTGCAGTTTTGTCCTCCGCTTTAAGTCCTCTATACATTGATGGGGGTAGGGTCTGAGCTACTGCATTTGTACACAACCCCATAATCTCCCTTATGGACACTGCTTCTGTCAAAGACAAGTCAGTGTTGTTCTTAATCCAAGTCTAAAACAGGATTATTTGTTATACAATATCCCCAACTCTCTCCTTTATTACTTCTGTGCCTCAGAATTCACTCTAAACCATGTCAAAGTGACGCTTACGCTCCTGTGTGACCATATGAGTGTGTTTATATAAAAGTGAGGTAGGACAAAAAAAGGCATCTGCTTCCTTTTATCATTCAGTTATCATTCTGTGGAAAGGAAATAAAATCGACTCTGAAAGATTTCATCAAAAACAAGCGACTGTGAGGATAATTCCTGCTTTTGAATTCAGAATATCGCTTCATGTCTCAGGTTGGATCTGAATTATTTAAGAGCAGCGGAGTCAGGCTCAATTTAACTCATTACTGTGAAACATATGAAAGCATTATTTAAACCCTTCACCGACAAGTGGAGAGAAAAGGATGCACTTTATCCCTTCAGCAAGTCTATTGATTACTGGTGCTTATTCATTTTGCTGGTAAGTACAAAGATTACGTGACATTTTCAATTTCATCCAGCTGACAGAAAACACATTGCTGCCTCTAATCGCCACGGAGCTATGAGCTTCAGCTTCCTCAGACCCTAAACAATGTATTTTGCCCATATCTCCCTTTAGATAAAATATGACTTTTGAGTAACAGTTCTTCTCCGTTATGTTTCACAACAAGCTCTACTTCCTCTGCAGCTCACCTCTGCCTTGCAAGATTTATGAGAAGTGTCCAGGTGCCCATGAAATGCTGCCACGTCTGATTCTCTGTGATAGAATAACAACCGTGTCAGTTACAGATACAGGACAGGCTGCATTGATCATTCAGAGCCTGAGGAGGGGGTGGAGGAGGGTGGAGGAAGGGTGGGTGGAGGAGGGGGACCGAGGATGTCTTTGCATTCAGGACCACGAACAAGAGCGGCCAGACTCATCGAGGTGAATGGAAACGATTAGTTTCCCTGGCTTTTCAGCCGAGGTCTGAGCCAGTGAACTCCCACAGCTGAATCACTCACTCTCTGCCTCCCCCTGCTTCCTTGTCTGATTTATGGGAAAAAATCATCTTTATTGAGCTATGGGGTCATGCTGCTTCCTCTCTCTCCCTCTCTCTCTCTCTCTCTCTCTCCTTCTCTTTAGCTCTCCTTTACTCTCGTCTCAAACAAATCAGAAACGCTCTCACACTCACATGCACACATATACGGTCACTGTGCTGAATAGAGATCCCATGTGGTTCTTCTTCTTGGTTTCCTGATCAGGACTGTGTTTGTTCATTAACACTCACCGCTTGAATTTAGAACAGCTGCACATGTTCCAATTGGCATGAGTGATTCATACAACACCGGCCTGTCTGCTGAGTGTATTTCTTTCTCTCTCTTCCTGCTCTCTTATTCTCCTCACCCTACCCCAATTTCTCTCCCTGTCTCTCCCCCACTGTGGTAAATAAGACACTACTGATTACTTTGCCTGTCTGTGGGAGCTTGCAGACAACTCATTCCTTCTTCTACTGAGGACTAAGTTAAGTGAGGATGGCATGGCGATAGTGGTTTGTGGCGGTGGGCGCTGAGTGCTGCAGCAGACGCCAAATTAGGAGTGGGAGGTGGGATGTGGGTGTATGTTGGAGGTGGCAGGGGTGTTGTCAAGCTGTGCGTTTGAATCCGGGCCCTCCGCCTGCCTCATAATCATCCGACACTCTCAAACACATATGGCCTCGGTCTTCAGAAAGTCCTCATGCTCTTGGTCAGCTCTCCCTGGGGATGCTATTGCCCTCTCCCCGCCTTAGTCATTTTTTCAAACTGCTTTACTAATGTTAGCTTTGTCGATAAGTGCTTTTGATGGAAAAGGCATCTGCGGAAATGATCCCCCTCCCACTGTTCCAGAGATAAAGGAGCTGTGGAAGGGACGTGGCAGGGGAGATGCTCGCATGCACACTAATAAGAGCAGCCCTGTTCAGCCGCAAATGTCCAATTTTTTACACACCCACATAGACATGTATGCAGGCCAACAAATCAAGAAACATGCCCAGCACAAGCTAGACATGATCCAAGTTATCCCCCCGCCAAACATAAAGAACAAGATGTTTAACTGCGAGCAGCTTGTGCACTCTTACACATATCAGTGGTGTGGAAAATAATGTCTGCTGTTATCTGCTCTGACAACACATCCAGGCAGGTGGGGATGTGCTCAAACCAATGTGACTTAAAGGTGGATATTTCCTCTGTCTTTCTCTATTCAGTCTGCAGAGCCTCTGCTTAATTTGCTCATTTCTCACTATGACGTGGTGACACGTTCGGCTTCATTACAATCAATGTCACAGGAGGGGAGCTGAGGGCAAGGGAAACAAGAGAGAGAGAGAGCGAGAGCGTATAAGAAAGGCGAGACAGTCCGACAAACAACAAAGAAGCATTTCCAATATTTTCAACAGCAGAATAATGAGACAGGGATGTGAGGAGAGCAGGAGAGAACCGAGAGGAGAGATGGAATAAGGAAGACAATTTTGTTTCCAATATGCAACATCTAAGGACCCTCTTGGCTGCGCTTACACTAATATACTGCCGAGTCTGAAAGTAGCTCATCATTCCAAATGTAGACCAACAGCTCTGTTCAAAGCCTTGGTAAAAGAAGAGTGAACAGCAATGCAGAGTCGCTTACAATTACACCAAATATTTTCACACCTGAATTTTAAAGCTTTCACTGCTAGTTATGTATATGTATCTATCTATCTATCCTGTATTTTCAGATGAAAGTGAAGCAATTTTGCTGTGTTACTGCTACACAGGGATCCTAAAAGATTGTACAACTGTCTTGTACAGATAACATTACAAGAAAAAGTAGTAAAAAGAGGATTTTCTGGTAACACTGTATTTGACGCCTATCTCTATAACACAATATAAATATATGTATCATGCATTATAATCATGTTATAGCACTATATAACTATAGTTATAAACACTCATAAATGATCATAATGCTTTATAGCAATAATAATTTAACATTATAAAGCATTTTATCATGACTCACAAGGTCAGGTATTATAATGTGTTATAACTGTTGACAACTTACTGATAATGCTCACACAGATAATGCAATGCAACTCTTTTTAACAGTTATAACACATTATAATATCTGACCATGTAAGTCATGATGAAATGCTTTATAATTTTACATTATTATTGCTATAAAGCATTATGATCATTTATGAGTGTTTATAACTATAGTTATATCGTGCTATAACTTGATTATAACGCATTATAAATATATTTATAATGCATAATAGGCATCAAATAAAGTGTTACCGATCTTCCAATACCATGTTCCTCATTAACCGCACAAAATTTAGCAACTTTTTCAGTTAGGACACAAAAAATCTGCTTTTTTTTAAGCTTCACTTACATGTGATGTCAGCTGTAGGGTTCAAATTGGGTGTTTTTTATTAAGAAATAATTGATAAACAATAAAGTAAACAAACATCTTGTCGGGAATATGCATTTAGACATGCCAAAAGTAGTAGCTAGTAAAAGCTCAAATTGAGAGTTGAATAAAAACAATGCACCAGCTTAGATCTGTCCCTGTTTTAACACACAATTCTGAAAGATATCTACCCAAGGTTGTTGTGTGTTTTCATCAGTGAGCATAATTTAATGTGAATTTCCGCTGAAGCTGAGCTCCGGGATCAGCAGGATGAGGGATCCTTACAGTGCTTTGTTTGATCTGCTTCATCTGCAGTATCAGTGCTGCTTTACATCTGATTACCATGTTTGACAACTCAATTCTGTGAGGTCTTTTTTTTCCATCAACCCATCTTTGGAGTTTCACCTCCTGAGAAAGGACACCGTTTGGTATCAACGTGGCGCTTGAGTTATCTTATAAAGGTTGAACTCTCGGCAGGAGAAATGGAGGACTATGGAGACACAATGTCACAGAAAGGGTGGGCACTTGAGATTGGAATGTGAGCTCAAGAAAAGGGCACAGAAGTGTGGAAATACCATATTGATAGTCAGACTGCTCTTCTGCTTGATCATTATTCCGAGGTAGTGGGAACCAATGACCTTTCCTGGTCAAGAGCTTAGTGTGGTTAAAATTCAATTGAGTGGAAGTGGGGGGAAAAAAAAAGAGAAAAAAATAACATGGTAACCTTTATTCTGCCATTGACGCTAACCTTGAACAACGGGCCCCAAAGGGGATGAGCGCCTTGTACTTGTATGTGTGTGAAAGAATAGGCTTTAGATAGTGTGTGTGTGTGTCTGTTTGAGTCTGTGTGAACAGAGCAAAAAGCAATTATTGTGTGTGTTTGTGGTAGGAACAGAGATAAGTAGGCAGGGAGCGGGGAGTGTGTGAAAACGGGTATGATGAAATTGTTTTAAACACAAAGTCAGACTCTGCTTAAAAATGAAGTAGTCATCGGGACTTTTACCATTTCCTTTTGTCTTTTTTGTCGAACTCGCATAAATACCCCCTGAGAGCAGCTCTGCCTACATCCACACGAGCACATCTCCTCTTCTGCATTTTTCATCCTCAGCCTTTTTCGAGACCAACCTCTTCTCTTGTTCCCCCCTCCCCGCCTCTGCCCTCCCCCCTCCTCCCCCACGAGGACTGAAACAGAGCTAATTGAAATAAATGAACTGGAGAGCAAATCAGAGTTGATTACATCAGCGGCGTGGGGATGCTGATTGCAAGCTTGTTGAGCGAATGTTGCAGAACTGGTTTGTAATGAAGAGCCTTGTTTGTCTATTACACCCTGACTGGACTTTGAGGACGACCACATGCTCTCCTGCTTATTGTTCGAACCCGCCTACATCATTCTGGAGAGAAAACAACAAAAAGGATGACGGATTTCTTATTTGTTTTAATTTGTTGGTCAAATTTTGACAAATGAATTTGTTTTTCATTCAGGCGAATGGTTACTGCTCATAAAGTCCTCAGAATAACTGTACAGTATATAAAATTAGTACAACAAATACTATACACAGGGGGGGGCAGCACAGGATGGGACAGGAGGATCTGGATTAATAACAGGATTGTTTAAATATCGTGAAACAAACAGAACAGCAGGAGATAGTTGCAAAATAACAAGTGCTGGATAGACAGTCTACTGTTTGAGATGGAAGAAACAGGCAGAACAGAGCAGCAGGAAATGTCATTTGCTTACAGGAAAATCAACAACAAATAGGATCACATAAAGTCGTTGTTTCGGTGATATTTCACAGCTCTTTTTGTTTATTCGGAGTGTCCGTTTAATCCGATAGGCAGAGACAGACTGTGGTAATAATGTCATCTAAAAACAAATCCTGGAGCTGCTCCTCAGACGGTGAATAATAGAGTAACACGGCGCCATAATGGCACCCAGGGTAGTTTAACAGGGATATGAGTGCTAATTCTGTTTCACAGCTCTATATTTTTAAATGCTTATTCAGAAAATCCATAAATGGATCAAGTTCTCCGAATGTTTCCTGGTGACAGGTGTTACTTCAGCCTGGTTGCACTTATTTGTAGGTTCACAGTGGTCTGTATTTGTAGAGAGCAGACTTACTGTTTAAAGTCAGTGGAACAGCGAAATGTGAATTCGGTTAGAGAATGGATTTTCCCTCTGAAGCGTTCAACAACATTGCTCTGAACTGTCCCTGCCCTCCTTTCACTGGCCCTGTGAAATTGGCACAATCAGCCAGAAGATGTGCAAAAAACACAGTAGACTAGTCCCCAGCCTCCGAGGGTGTTTTGTGCTGCTGAAAGAGCAATAACCCTCTCCCTCTCTTGTCCTATAATCCTGCCCACATAGACACACAAACATAGTGACATTAAAAAAAAAAAAAAAAACAGTTGTCTTTAGCACCACTGAAGAGCAAACATGTCAAATGCACAGCCATAAAAATTCTGTTGAAATTCCAACGTATGAAAAAATAACTGAGAAACAAAACCCTGTGAGTAGGCCAGGAGAGCGTACACAGGTTATGTCAGCAGTTACAAAATGCTTTCAAGAGCTGCGTGACATGTCTCTTAGTATAAAGAACTGCAAGACTCGACTAGAGAACATTTTAATCAGCATGCTATTAGTTCTTGCCCTGAAATAGCCTCAACCTAGTTGCTGAGGTCTGTCACAGCAAGTAAATACCACAGTCGGTAGGATGTTAGTCTGACAGGACTGCAGACCTGGGAAACGTTGAGGGCTCAAAAAGCATATTATCAAGCCCAAGGAAAGAGGCTGTCCGATAAAGGAAACAACCTTATCCGTTCAAGTAAGTGTTGGGTTCAATAACTAGCTACGCCTATTGAATACTAATCAACAATTCAATGAGCAAACTGCAGTTGAAGGGTAAAAAGGACGATTATCATTCCTGCACACAGAAAATTAATTACTCTGCTTGTGTGGAATTATTATGCTAGGCTAGTTGTGGTGAAATCTAAGCATGCAAATGAGTAAGACAACATCTGGGATTCACTCAGTTGCAGTTTGCTTGGATATTAGGTAGCATTCAGCTCATCCGTGGCCTGATAGGTCGCTTTTCATGGGGTCAGATCTGACTTGTTTTATCAAGTGGTGCAGTCCTCATGATTCTAGAGAATACAGCACTCACAAACAGTGAGATAAAAAACAAAAAACACTTAAATACAATTAAATACATCTAACTGGAAGTTTTCCCTTTGGTAAATGTGCTTTGTTCCCACCATTGCATGTCCTCGTTCTTGACGTTCTTCTCTTTGCTGTAAAGCCATAGCACCTATTTCATTGGCCGTGGAAGAGTCTTAAATAACAAACCACAAACCGAGCGCAAACAGGAACAGAATAAAATAAATATTACTGCAGTTTAAGTCCAGTCTTTCCTACTAAATCTTGTTCTCAAGGTCCACATTTTTTTGGTAGTTTGTCGCAGTGATTAACCATTGAAGCAAACTCGTCCAACTTGGAATCCAAATTTCTGGTTGTTGTTGCCAAAGTCTGCAGAAGCCACATCAATAATAGGAAGCAGCTCCGCCGAGGGCGAGTCGATCTCCAGAACCGTCCTTTCCTGACCTCTGCGAGACTGAAAGAGAAAAATTAAAACCATTGTTAGAATTTGTTAGGATAATTCAACCTAATAGTTATGACTAATTTCTGGCCTATTCAAAAAAGTGACTCAAGTGGCTTCTCATGTATTACTGGAGCACCACTACTGATCAATGCATTAGTATCATTAAGGCTCATTCTTATTTCCCTGCACTGACCTGACATCCATCATGCACTGCGCTGATGAAGGGGCTTTTGGCTTGTGTCAGCTCCTCGTCGTTGCTGCCCCGGAAACGGAGGGCGTGCTGGTAAGAGCGGGTGGTGCTGTCAAACCAGCCTGCAGAGTTCTGGCAGGTGTAAGTGAAGCTCTGCTTGGCCGTGGCACTTAATAATTTCAGGAAGGTCAGCTGAACCACATGAACAGGGTTCCCATCCCTGTCATTGTATGAGAACTGGATGACACAGACACACAGGTATTATTATAACAGAACATTTCTTCTAGACCACAGAATATCACTGTAGGATTGAAACGATTCCTCGAGTACGTATGCTGTGTTCAAGTTACCTTTGAAGTCAGAAGTCATAGCTGAAAATGACGTCACACCCGAGTTCCCAGCGTTTCAGTTACAAGTTGGAAAAAAGCAAAATCGGAGGCGGAAACAAGATGGCTACATCTACAAAAGTTATTTTAGCGCTTGCCTTGTCCGAATATAAAGCAAGCGCTAAAATAACTTTCATAGATGGAGCTATCTTGTTTCAGGCTTCCAATTTTGCTTTTTCCTGACTTGATAACTGAAACGCTGGGAACTCGGGTGTGACGTCAGTTTCAGCTCCGACATGTGACTCCTGAGGTAACTCAAACGCACCATTAGAGTACCTCGATTACAAAAGATGATCGACGAAGTTTCTCTGCCTTGAGTACTCGTTTAAAAAATCAAATCATCACTGTTTCGCAAGGATTACTTTCAAGGTGACACACCGCGTTTACGTCACCATGGTAGAAGAAGGAGTAAGCGTGGTTTTGGTTTTGCAGAGTAGAAATAAAGAATGATGAGAGGGGCTTTACTTCTGCAGAGCTCCAGTAGCTCATCAGCAATAAAACTCTGAGTCGTGGGCGGAGACAGCGCTGCTCTGCACACTCCTCTTCATGGTAGCTTGCAGCCTAACATTGCCGGTGTAGTAGCAGAAGCATGTAACACAGGAGCTATTTAGCTCTCGGACACTAATATCTTTAGGGACATAATTAAAGTTAATATCATAATTCGCTTTCTTACAGACATTGCAATCTGCGAACGTACACGCTTGTTCCGCGAATGTCCTCTCTATTTCTCTGAGGCTGGCAGGGCTCCGGGGTTGGAGCTTGGATTTGTGACGTAGGAAATCTCACTGTATCTGAGTCTGCCGTTTGAGTCCGATTAATCAATGGAATATTTGGTAGATTACTTGATTACTGAAATATTCGCTAGCTGCAGCCCTATGTCACTGAATCAAAAATAATACAAAATACTGGTTTTCTCTGACCAATCAAGCCCCTGAAAAACATGCCTGAGCTGATAATCTCAGAAGGACAAACAGGAACATTCCAATCTCCCAGGCGTTCATGTGAAGGAATTTATGTAATCAAGGGTCAAGAAGTTCCAAAGCTTCTCTTAAGAATTAAAATAGCAAAGTCAAAGAAAAGAGCGAGGAAATTAGAGGAAAAAAAACTTCAAACATTTAAGGACTTGGAGAGAGATATTCAAAGTATTGCAATTGTGCTGGCAGCTCTGTGGTAATCTGAGAGGGTTACGAGACATCAGATCAGGTGCACATGAAAGGCCAGCGCTCTGAGTGTTCTGCCCCGAATGCGAGTCAATGAGACCGAGCTGCTTTGTGTGAGTCATCCAGACTGCTGAAATCAGCTGCCGGCAACATCAAATTAGCTCTCTCTTTTTTTTTTTGCACATGGTTGAATACGTTAATACCGAATTATGAGAGACACATATCGACAAAAAAGCAAAATACATGGACGTGCAGTTGTGCATATTGATGAACATACGTGAGCCTCCGCCACAATCATGTGAGCACACTCTGGGAAATGCCAGATACTTAATCACACGCATGAGTATCATTCAAACATTCACAATTAAAATGAGTAATGCGGCTGAAAACTGGCTGGCATTTGCAGCCAGCTGAGAGTAATGGTGGGATGTAGGTTATTTTTTTACACTTCATACCTGCTTTCCTTTCCTGTACTGGCTGTACCAACTTCCTGGCTTCTCTTTGTTCCAGGCTGCTAATTTCACCTAGACACACAACAGAGAAGAGAGGGAGGATGCTGAGTCAAATTTGAGGCTCGAGGGATAGAGGGAGTGATCTGTGCTCTGATATGAGATGACGAGGTCGGCTTTGTAAAGGCTGACAGTGGGAGATTGGAGACTTACCATCTCAATCCTCTTGTCAGGGTAGAGACATGTTTCTCCATCAGCTGTGAAGTTACAGTAGACCTTGATGGCGTCTCGGTGACAGCCCTGGTTAGGATCAATCCAGTAGTCTCCTTCAGAGTGCACAGACAGAGGACACCAATCAAGAAGCAGATGTGGATTTAATGAAGACATCTAGTGTAACAAGATGATCACATGCAGCTGGCACAATGATTTTAAAAAACATAACAGCCTATAAAAGTTGCATGTAAGCAGTTGATGCTAATTTGTAATACATCACTTAAGAGATGTTAAAATATGCATGGGTAAAAAAATATGAATTCGCAAACCATCTTTATAGTTGGGCTGGACCATCATAAGCTCTTTGCAGGTCCGGGCAGGACTCTCAAAAGTTCCCAAGGGTCTCCTCATCACCTCCACTTCTGTTTTCATAGAAGATAGGATGGCAAAGACCTCCTCCATTCCTTCAGCGTCCTCCAGAGGCTGATCTCCCTGGAGAAGCTCCTCCATGTCCAGTTCCGCATCCTCCTCCCTGGGTGGAGCCACTCCTCTTTCCTTATCGGAGTGTCTGCGTTTCTTCCGTTTACCCTCCCTCATGGGCAGGGGTTGAATAAATTCTGCGGGGAGTCCCTGGAGGGTAACACAAGCGGTGATTGAGAGGTGGAAGGGATGAAGAGAGAATAAAGGTGGTGCTAAGTTGGCCATTATTCAAATCACTGGCCATACTCACTGGGGGTCCTGGAGGACCAGCAGGGCCTGGATCTCCTCTGGGACCTGAAGCGCCCTGGGGAGTAGAGAAAGACAAAACTTTGTGTCAAAAAAGGTCTCACCTGAAGCTCCTCTCGCACCACTTGGCTAAATCCCAGCTTTACCCAGCAGATGTGGCTGCTGCTTTATAGGATTATCCAGCTATGTGCATCAGCACTCTGTGGTCAAAGCCTTGGCTCTCAAGACACACTGTAGTGGTTTTCATAACATCACACAACCCAAAATCAAATCCTATTAAAAAAGGCCCAGTGGAAAAATCTCACACAAGGCGAGCGTGGCTGTACAGCAGGCTTTTAGTTCCAAAGACATGCAGTAAACACCAAACGGCATAATGATTATGGAGCATGCTACATTTAAGCCAACAAACATACTTTTCCCCTCTCCTCCAACATATGTTCCTAACAGCTGCTAAACAAGCTGAGGTGTGAGTACAGGAATGGCAGCGTGTAAATAAGATGGATGACTGGACTCACCATTTCTCCCTTCGATCCTTTTTCACCAGCTGCACCCTAGAAGTCAAGAGGAGGAAACAGTGAGCAAAGCTAACTTGTTACAGAACAAATGCTTGTCAACTTTTGACGATAAATTCATAAATATACTCCCTAGAGCTGGGTGATATGTGAAAAAGTTTATCACAATACATTTTTTTTTATATCAGTCAATATCGATATATGTCACTTTTGTCAATCATAAATGTTCCCTGTTACTCTTAAATCAAATTTAACAGTGCTAATTGGTAGCATGTCTTTTGCAATAGAATAAACGACTGCATCCCCTTTTCATTGGCTATTTGTATAATCCACCAAAACATAGCAGAATGCCAACTATCGAAAAGGATATTGACCATGTTTCATATTGATATCGAGGGAAATTAATTTTTGATATATAGCGTTATTGTTTTATCGCCCAGCCCTATTGCTTCTCATACATGTATAGACAAGTCTTACATAACCTATAAATTAATTTCAGGTGTAATCATAAGACATTGAAAGAAAACATGGTTTAAATTGCATCTGTTGCACTTACTGACAGTCCAGGCGGTCCAAGTGGGCCAGTGGGGCCTTGTGATCCATGCGCACCCTTGATTTAAGGACCAACATGTTAAAAGTCAAGATCGAACGAACAGGAAAGAGTCAGATTCATGGTTTTAATGAGATGTGTACCTCATCTCCTTTCGTTCCTGGTGTGCCCTCGTTCCCTGGCAGGCCTCTGTCTCCTTTTTCACCAGGTTCTCCAGGGGGCCCAATTAGACCGAGCAGCCCACCGTGACCCTGCAGACAGAGACATGCTCCATGACATTTGATTCAGTGGGTTTAAACTGGGACGGCGAGTTCCCTCTGTCACAGGCTTAATACTCACTTTCTCTCCCTTTATGCCAGGGTCTCCTTTTAATCCTGCAAGTCCTGGTGGTCCCTGTTAACAGTGTCAGATGTATTAGTACAATATAAACCCCCTCTTTCATTTGGTAGGCTCTGTTAGTCTCATATTAGGATCTTACAAGTGGTCCTGGTGGTCCAGTTTGTCCTGGTGGCCCATTTAACCCTTGCTCCCCCTGAAAGTAAAACATAATTAGGATGTTAGAGTAGACTAAAACATTGTTTCAACATGATTAATTACTGTGATTTCCTTTATATGGATTTCCTTTAGACTCAATAGAGACAGTATCAGTATATGAGAACAACACAAAACGACAGATTTGACGTACAGCTGGCCCTGGGATGCCACGGAAGCCCTCTGGACCAGACCGTCCTGGGTGCCCCTGAGGTCCCACTGGGCCTGTCTTCCCAACTGGACCTTGAGTTCCCTGGCCCCCCTACAGAGCAAAAAGGCAGATGCGGGCAGTCAAATGTAATGCAAATGCAAAAACAGAACAAGAAAGCACTTAACACATCATTGAGTTTGAGTAGTCCTTACCTTGGCTCCCTTCATGCCCTGCTTCCCTTCTTTCCCTGCAGCTCCAATATGACCCTGTGATTGACAGAGAGGCAATGACATGGAGGAAATGACAACTTGACTACACGCACACACACACATACTGCACACAAGTCAACACAAAATGTCAAGCTTACCCTCCGTCCAGGCGGACCTGATGGGCCTGGCTCTCCAGAAGCTCCTGGAGGTCCCTGTACAGGACAACAAAAAGGCCTTGGGTTCAACAGAATCATAGTTTAATACAGTCATTTCAACAGCCACGAGGATCAAGAAGTAAAACTATCCAAGAACTCCTCGAGAGGGAAAAAAAAATCCTGCTTACTGCTTTGCCAGGTTCTCCATTGTCTCCTTTAGGCCCTCCTACTCCATCCACACCCTGCGTGAAAACATAATGAATTAAAAATGTTAACCAATTACCACCAATAAATGCTCAAAACAACTAGATTGAGCACTCTTACATTAACACCAGCCTCTCCAGATGGTCCCACATCCCCAGGGAACCCGATAGGTCCCTATATGCACAAACAGTGTGTTAGCGACCATCATATATGTGAAATGATATAAGCGGACTGAATAACAGAGCTAGTTAAACCGCTAATTCAGAGAGACAGAGACTCACAGGGTGGCCCTTGGATCCGTCCTCCCCTGGTGTTCCTCTGGGTCCTGGAGGCCCTGCTGCACCAGGAAGGCCAGTGTCACCTTTCTCCCCCACATCACCTTTAGGACCCTAGGACATGAGCATATAATATAACAACCAATGAAAGCCTGACGAGAGAAGGTGCAAAAGAAAGTAATAAGATTTTTCGTCACTACGTGACTCACAGAAATGCCGGTCTCTCCAGGTGACCCTGGGTTTCCAGCCTCGCCATCCTCACCCTGATTGGATAGATCAGGGACATTCAGTTACATGAAAACACCACACACAAAAACACGACCATATCACTTCATGTGCATGCTCCCACACCATGTAGAAACTATTTTTTAAAAAGCTGACCTTCTCTCCAACAATGCCAGGCTGACCAACTCCTCCTACCAGCCCAGGTGCACCCTGCAGCAGGGACAGAGAGAAGCATCAACCAAAATACCATCAAACAAGGGCAAGTTTGAAATATTCATCCGATCCTTTTAGAATCCGGTTCAAGGTGTAGATGTTCTCTTGTTGTTTGTCAGCACTTCTGCGTACAGACTGCTGTAACTGGAACAGAATAATCACAACACCAGGGAAAAATACTGTGTCAGGTTTGCTCAGTGGATAGTGTCTGAGTCACTCAGTAGGGCGGGTGCTATTTCCCCTTGCTCAGTCATTTTGTTTTGTTTGCTTGTGCATGTGTATATGTGCATGCCTGTCCATGTGCACGCATGTGTGTTCGTGTTTCAGGCTCCGTGTCTCAGTACGAACCCAGTAAAAGCATGTTTTTCGCTAGAGTGCACAAACATGAGGGCTGAGTACAGCCACACACTAACACTGAGCTCCTGCTGTCAACTGCTCCCCTCACATCAGCCAGCCGTCCCCCTTTTGCCCTTTTCCGCTATTCCTGTATCAATCCATTTATGAATCCAACTATCTCTGCTCAGCTGTGTTTCCATGCGTCCTGTGATGGAGCAGTAGCGTGGCTCGTACAGATTCTGCAGCTTGCTGCTGAATAATTGACCACAGTGAGATGCTGTAGAGAGACGGCCATTACTAGAGGTAAATATAACTGCCTGTGATGATAGTCTTTTACTTCTTAATGATTCATAGAGCAGTAAATATAACTCTCTCACAGGGATTATCTTCTTATGCTTTTTAATAATTCAACTTTCAAAGCCAGAGGAGGGGTCTGTGGCAAGAAGTGTTCATATGAAGCGACTGTGTATGAAGATATGAACGGCTGAGAAATATCAAGTTTTTTTAGTGTGTGTGGATGAGCTATTGTTCACTTTGAAGCTAGATAACACTGTGTATTGAATGTGCATAAAGCCTTGTGATTCCAAAGCAGATACACCAACATGTTTTCTTTATGACTCACAAAGGCACGCAGCCATAATTACTTGACAATATCAGCACTCCGGTTTTCTCACAGGACGTGCGTGAATTTCCAGTGTGCAAATGTAAAAGTTAGTTTTTTAAAACTTTGGAATACATAATTTAAATCAACAAAAAGATTTGGCTTCAGGGATACCAAAAAAAAACATATCAGGAACAAAACCTTGAATAAGCCTAAGATGCAAGCATATTAGAGGAATTTCTGGCAAAAAGACATGACTAAAAATGGAAAACAGTCATTTAGTATAAATAACAGATCTAATAAAATACAGCACTGATGATGGTGGTTTTCTTGATTAGAATTAGTGAAACTTTTTCACGGACAACTTTTAGAGAAGAAATAATCACAACTTTGCTACAAGAATGTTAATGAAGAGATTGTTTAATTACAGGCAATAAAGGCTGTGCTGTGTTGTGCCTTGTTGTTAAAGTCACCTTGAACTTACATCACCTACACTTAGAGCTGGGCCGATATGGGAAAAAGTTTATCATGATATATTTTTTTCATATCAGTCGATATCGATATATATCAGGATCTAAAAAAAGACATCTAACAGTGCTTATTGGTAACATGTCTTTTGTAATACAATAAGGTGCACCTGTGAGGTCTTTGGGTCTCTGATACATAATATGCGGTCCACATTACTCTGCTTCATGTCCAACCTCTAAAAAAACCAAAATACCCCCACACCACCAACGTTTTCGTGCCAATCTTGTCGACGATGTTGTGTTGAGCCTTCATCTGCATTTCTGCCAGAGTTAGCACTCATTTTCTTTCTTTCTCACCGACTGTGCTGTCAGCTTCACATGTTAAAGTCCTATGGTTACGTGTAGCTGCTACGTGCTACTACGCAGTTGTTTGCTACCTGGTTCTAATTCGGCACATGATTAGTTCAGCGCAAAGGGAACCCAGAGTATTTCCACTTTTCATTGGCTATTCATATTGTCTACCAAAACATGGCAGAATGCCGACTATCGAAAAGGATATTGACCATGTTTTGTATCGATATTGAGGGAAATAAATTTTTGATATATATAGTTATCATTTTATCGCCCAGCCCTTATTACAAATATTACTTTTTACCAAAAAAATTAGAGAAACTTTTCCATGGACAAGTTTTAGAGAGATATAAGAAGTATTCACAACTTTGCTACAAGAATGTAAATAAAGAGATTGTTTGATTAAAGGCAATAAAGGCTGTACTGTGGTGTGCCTTGTTGTTAAAGTCACCTTGAACTTACATCACCTACATGTAAAGGCTTCTCAAAAGAGTTTTGCTGCTCGATCATGCTGCAGTTATGCTCAACTACAATCTCTGATTTAAAAAAGAAACACACTACCTCTCCACCGATGGGCCCGTGAGGTCCTCTTGGACCATGCTGTCCTGGAGGCCCCTGTGAAGAGAAATGAATTGTTTTCATTAGGATCCTAGAACAGACAGAAAGGAAATACAGCATCAATAAACCACAGAAAAACAAACTGAATATGAACTGGGAGTTGGCTGGAGCCTCCTATATTAAATGAAAGTTAGTCTCAGCTCATGCTGGATGGCTTATGAAATGGCCCAAGTATCTCTGATCATTATCTTCGTGACATGATGAAGACACCCAGACAGGTCATTACCCTCAAAATGACACAGGCTCTGATCCCCCCACACCACCCCCCACTCACATATTCACTCTTATTAATAACAAACCTCTGGCCTGTGATGTGGGAGAACATATTCTCTCAGCCGCAGTGAGGACATGTGATTTGACTTTTCTGTGCAGCTCAAAAGAGCACCAAGCAATTAATCCTAGCAGTGCTCGACTTCAGTTTCAGTTGAGTAGATGTTGAGCTGTGCTCTGAATCACTCTGAAGTCTTGGAGGGAATCTTGTGTTGTAAAGATGCAGAGACAGAAACACAGACAATCGGCCCAAAGAGAGACTGTGTGGGACTGGAGGAAACACATATCCTTCTGGCGAAGAGATACTTGAGCATTAGAGGGGAGAATTCTGTGATCCGCAACGCTCACACATGAATGAAACTTCCCCACTGAGTCCCCAGCATCTCTCCTCTTCTCTCCTCTTTTTTTTTTTTTGCTGCCTCTTCCCCTCTCTCGCTCTTCCCCTCTCTCTTTTGTTTTGGTTTCATTCTGATGCATCCCCTCCCTAATCCGGCTGCAGAGTAAAGGGGCTATAGAGAATCTTGTTGAGCGTGTGTTCATGGTTGACAGCGTTGTGAGATGACTGTCACAAAGGAGGATGCTCATTAGACAGCCAAGGCTGAGGCTAATCTGATTAGCAGCTGTCACACCGTCTTCCTGCTCACAATCAGTGCCCCGCCTCTTCCTTCCACTCCACTGCTCCACTGCCTCCTCTCCGTCACCCTCTCCCTTTTTCTTTCTCCATCTTTCTCTTCCTTTTACATACAGGACCACTCTTTCTTACTCTGGGATCGTCTGTCTTACTAATGAACTCGGGGTCTGTTTTGTCATCCACGCTTTGCTCAGGAGATCCATCACACCCTTAAAAGATGTGTTGAGATTGTTCAATGGCTTTTTGTTTTTTCACACCCATTATATTGATGTAAATGAATAAAATAATAGGAAGATGTAGCGAAAGCAGACAGACAGACAGACAGTAGAGATATTGGGGACAGAGTAAGAAGAGCAGCTGACTGCAGTCTGAATACACTGTATTTGCTCATAGCTAGAAAGAGCAGTGTATCTTCCATGCTGTAGTGAGGTTGACAAGTTTGCATGACATTAACTGCTAAGGAGAGTCACTCAGCGATGAAAAGAAATTTGCTTTGACTTACAGTTCAGACCCCACAAAGTGTAAGCATTGTTCAGCTTTTAAAAATGTCATTATGCCATAACTGTGACACGCCTGTTCTTTAATAATGACATAAAATTATACGTGCCTTTTACAGGGCCCTGACATTTTCATGCTGACTCACTGGCATAGCTCACAAGGATACTAACTGGGAACAGAGTATTATAAACATTTTAAAATGCACCTTTGCTGCTACTGATTTGACAAGTTAAGTGGCCCACCGTGAAAAAACCTGCCCCGATGTTGGCAAAACAAAAAGATCTCATTCCTTTGACAGGTGAGGCAGAATGTCTGCTGCTATGAGAGGTTTTTTACAAAGGAAACAGCCTCAGGATGCACTAGCTAATTGTATTTATCCTAATTGGTTGATCTTATTTTTTTGTGCAGCACTCTCACACCAGACTGGCTTTAATGATGTTGAGACTCATTGAGACCCAGAGTAAATTAGTCACCCGCCCGAGATCCCTGCCTGTAGTTTGAGCTTTTAAAAGGTGATTTTTGCCAGGAGAATATGAAGGTTTCGACCCTCATCCCTCCCCCTGAAGTTGCAGTCAGCTGATAACTAATACGATTATGAAATATTTGAAGTTGAAAGAGCTTCAAAATTGTCAGCAGGGCACTATGCCAAAACCTTCACCGACTGTAGCAGCGTGAGCGTGAGGAAAGCTGCAACACAAAGCGAAGCTACCTGACACAGCTGCTGTTGAAGTTAAAAACCTTGACTGGGTTTGAGAATTTTTTAATTTTATTTTGGTGCCAAAACAAAAGTTGAAGTCTTATTGTGCAAGGCATTGAATATGGCCGTGCAAAGTGGTGGATGCTGCAGCACCCTCTGAGATCAGGTATCAAGAAAACAGTGTATTGTTGTAGTAAAACAGCTTGGCCAAAAATCTTTCTGCTTTTTAAACTTTTTTTATTTTTCTCATAATTAAATGCAGGATTTGGACATGAGCTAATGTTTGTTTTTTGTTTTTCTTCCACCCTCATTTTGCATATTCAGTGGCTCTTCAAGCAAACTGATGCAACTGTAAAATGATGGAGCTATTCTAGTATTGTATTTTAAGATATTTTAGTCTTTTTTTTACTGAAGATACTGAGGGGATAATACTTCTATCATACAGTGCAGAGGAGAGAGTCCACCACAGCCTCAGTCAGCCACAGCTGCAGCTGTACAGTAGCACTTAATGATGGGACACGTGATGTACTTAAAGCCCTGGCTAGCAAGAATAAGAGAGAGAGAGGGACTGGAAGCTCACATGGATGAGCCTCAGAGTGTGTGAACAGTCGGTTACTGCAAACTGAAGTCTGCTTTTAACATCAGTGAAGCTGTCTCGTTCAAACAGTTCCAGCATGGGTTAAAATCAGCATTGGTATCCTGGCGTAGATTTCTCTGCTGAGTCTCATCATTGTATCCTCACTTCTGTGCAGCATTATTAACTTCTCATAGAGGGTTATATCTACCCCTGTGCACACGCTGCTTCAATAGTTTTCCTGCTTTGGCTTTACCATAGCTTTCGATGCTTTGAAAACACTTGAGTCTGATGTGTTGTAAGACTTTATGAAACAGGTGTAATGTGATAATAGTTATGCTGGATATTTTCAGTAATGAAACTAACCTGTTTCAGAGGATCATTTATTGTTTTTTATTACATAATCTGGCTGTTTTCAGCAGCTCTAATTTTGACTGGTCCCTGCACTGTACTAGTTTTTGTTTAGTTTAGTTGTTTTGGCTCATTCGTTCGATAAAGCTTGTTGTATCGTTGCGGATGAACATGTTTTATTGTTTGGACTGCTTTAATTTTCCAAGTTTAACATGCTCTAATGTACAGGACAGCTGTACTCATTGTGTTAAAGGGATATTCTGGCGTAAAATTAATTTAGGGTCAAACACGCCGTAACACCAAGTTAGACACCCCCTTGAGAGATGAATGTTGCCGACCGCTTGCATATCTAGTTATACCAACTTTAGTAACAACCGCAGGATAGCAATACACAGCGGTCTGAGGAGCCATAAACAAACCTCAACCCAAACGCCACTCTGTAGCCATAAATAATGATCAGAACAGCACCTAACTTCATCAACAGTACATATAGGGTCACAGCCTCAGTACTAGCTACCAAACATCTTTTTTATTTTGCCTTATTTCTTTAGCAAAGAAACTAAACACAACTTACCCACGCTCTTTCAGCAGCTGCTCGTTTGTAAGAAGACCTCGAATGAGTCTATCACCAGCTGCAGAAGGGGTGACGCAGCTCAAGGTAGAACATCGATGATCATTTCTTTATGGAAATGCAATCAGACTGAGATGCTAAGGCAGAAGAACTACTGCGTCTGCAGTTAAAAATTATTAATATGGTGATTGATCATAAATGTTCTTCCTTGAGCTGCGTCACCCCGCTGCAGTTGGCAATGGACTTGTCTGAGGTCTCCTAACAAACAAGCGGCTGCTGGAAGAGAGTGGGTGAGTTGTGTTTAGTTAGGCAAAGCTAAAAGCTGAAATTAGGCAAAGCTAAAAAGATGTTTGGGGGCTAGTACTATGGCAGGGACCCTATATGTACTGTTGGTGAAGTTAGGTGCTGTTCTGAGCATTATTTGTGGCTATAGAGTGGCTTTTTGGTTGAGAGGTGTGCATTGGCTTCTTAAACCACTGTGTATTGCAATCGTGTGGCTGTTACTAAAGTTGGTATAACTAGAGAAGCAAGCGCTCGGCAACATTCATCTCTCAAGGGGGTGTCTAACTTGGTGTTACGGTGTGTTGACCCTAACTTAATTTTACACGAAATATCCCTTTAAGATGCCACATAATTTGTCCCAACCTTGACACTCCCGATCTTTTTTTCTATTTCTTTAAAAAGTAAAGAACAAAAGGGATTGTATTTTTCTGTGTATTATATATCCAGTATATCACAATGTTATCTGTTACTCCGACTTAGACTTTGTGAAAATATTGCTATTACATCCACAAGAAAAAAAAACACCTAAGATAACACAACAGTCCCTGCAGCAAGATATTTAAACTCTGCTCTGTATGATCAGTTAAAACCTCTCACTGAAGGAAACAGAAAATAAATCAAAGTCAATGAAGTGGAAAACATATTCAAAGATTTGGAGAAAGTGAGGAAAATTCAACTTGATATTAAATATCATGCAAGGCCGAGGGAAGTGCAAGTTATAGTAATCTTGCAGTCAAATGTAAGATATTAAAGGAAATGGTGTGGAGAAGAGAACTGAGACTGACACTGGACCGAAGCAGTGGACTTGAGATGAGTGTTGAACGTGCTGATATGTCTGAGCAGTACTCACCATTGAGCCAACATGCCCACTCTCTCCTTTCTCCCCCGATGGACCTGGCATTCCCTACAAATGTAGACATGGTGATTAACATAAATGTGAAATAATTAAAGATGCAGGTACTTTTAATCACAATATAAATTTGTACCTGTAATCCTGAAGGACCTACTGCCCCTTTAAAGCCTCTCAGTCCTTCATCTCCTTTTTGTCCGTTCATTCCCTGCTGCCCACGAGGACCTGGTTCACCATCTGCTCCCTGGAATATTCAAAGACAGGTTACGACTGTCGAGATGAACAACCAAAAACTTGTTTTGACGTAGAGTGTTTGAAACTGATTCATTGTTATATTTGTAACATACTGATGGTCCAGGAGGGCCTACAGGGCCTTGAATTCCAAGAGGTCCTGGGGGTCCCTGGAAAAGCAGAGAAGGAGCTTAATACTATAGAAGACTGTAAATAAAAAATTGGGCCTTTCTGGTCTTTTTTTAAAATTATCTGTTTATTGGCATTTTCAGTTTGAACACAAACAAATCTCATGTTGAATAAATATTCATAATAAATCCCCCCAGTCCCTCCCTCACCACCCCATGTTCCCAGATCCTCTAAAAGAAGTATAAAGTGAGAATGAAAATAAATAAATATTAATAATAATAAGGATAATAATAAAGATAAATTACACTGTAAGTTTTCCTTAACATACAACGAAAAGAAAGGGTACTGCAAAAGAAAAAAAAAAAAAAAAAACAGGGTCCAGAAAGAGAAATACAAATTTGATTGAAATAATAATAATAAAATAATAATAATAATAAACTAAATAACAAACAAAAAATGAATAAATAAAGCACTATATTCCAGATCAACACTGTTCACCAAATGTGCAGCTTTAAGTACACATAGATTTAATTAATGTTAAAAGCAGCTAGGGCTGTAGCCAGGTTGAGTCAGGAGGAAACCCAGTCTTTGATGGTAGTGAGTTTCAAAGTAAGTTATAAAAGGCATCCAAACCTGATTAATTTTCTCCTTATTACCTCTCAGACTAAACTTAATCCTGTCCAATTAAAATGAAACATAACATCCCTCATCCATCTCACGTAGGATGGAGCTTTTGAACTCTTACAGATCAGTAGTATTTGGCGTTCAAGCCAGTAAAGTTGTACCTTTATGGTCTTTTTGACCACATACAGCACTTTCACTCTACCTGTCTCATTAACTCATTCACACACTGTCAACTATGTCACACGGGGGCAATTTTGGGTTCAGTGTCAGACTGAAGGAGACTGACTGCAAAAGTCAGGATCGCTCCACCAACCCTCCTTTTGAGAGACAACCCTCTCCACTACTTAGCTACAGCCACATCTCATTACCCTAAAAGATGCTTACAGTGCAACAAGTAATCATAAGCAGTATTTTTTTCCCTATTTCACGCTGATATTATCTGATGCTAAATCAGAGAACGATTGATCATTAAATTCATACTCACAGCTTCTCCTTTGTCTCCTTTGCTGCCCTTCTGGCCTGGTCCTCCTAGTTCTCCCTGTTAGGAAAATACACACATGTGAACATACTGGTATACAGATCTAGAAGGATTACATCAGTAAGCTCTTAACAGCACTGCTGCACTCCATGCTCACTTAAGTGTGTAACTACCTTGTCTCCGTCCTCTCCTGGCGGCCCAGGAGGTCCTGCAGCCCCTGGCAGCCCCACAGGTCCCATCTCCCCATCATGCCCAGCTGGCCCCACAGGCCCTTTCTCTCCCTGGAGAACAGATGGGAAAACAGCTCACACCTAGCAAATGCTACAATACTTATTATCCTCGTACAGCAGCGGGACACATTGATTAATGTATCACACCAGGAAGGAAACTCAGACCCAATAAGTCCACTTGATCACATTCATATTTTCTCCCTCCCTTGCTCCTTCTGTCTCCTCCACTCCTCTCCTGCTCTCGGTCTCATAATGACATGTTCCAGAGCCAGAGCACATGTTGTTTATCACCCAATGGTGGGAGGTGATGGTACAGTATGTGTCAGTGCACAGTGTTGCTAAAGAGACAAATTTAACAATAATGCAGATCTTACTGGTTCGCCTTTCTCTCCCATTGGCCCAGCAGGACCCACCCCCCCGGGCCGTCCTGGCTGTCCTATAGCACCTGCCGGCCCAGCAGGGCCCCTCTCTCCTGGTGCACCCTAGAAATAAGGGAAGATAGAGAGGTGAGGTGAGTTTGTCACATGACTCACTCTTTGATTTAATGTGGTGGTCACGATCAGTGATCACCATGGAAACAGCCTCCTGCTTCATATGTCCTGGTATACTATATACCATAGAGGCTGAACATAGATCAGGGGAATTGGAAAGAAGCAATTTAAAATCTGACTTACAATAAGTCCTGCAATACCAGGTAAACCCTCTCCTCCTTTCAGACCTCCTGGACCCTGGAGAGACACATTTTTTTTTATTATCCAGCAAAATCTGTTATGGACATTTTCTGGTGAATCAGACATTTACAACTAATTTAAAACACTTTCCATTACCACATTTTTTCACTGCAGTGATTTTATATACAACTGTGTTTTCTAGTAAACTACAAATTCCACTGGAATCTAAAACCAATTATTATAAGATAAAGAACAAAATGATGAATGAAATCCCGTATTACCGTTGCACCAGGGGTCCCTCTGCTTCCTCTGAAACCTTGGAGTCCAACAGGGCCACTTTTCCCTGGAGCTCCTGGTGGACCCGGGTCTCCCTGGAAACAATGCATACGCACATATTTGATTAGATGTAAGGCAAGTAGCCGGCAGACAGCAGGCCCCTGTGCAGTCATAAATCACACCAACCAGCAGGTCATGCTAAGAGGGAAGCATGATACTTTCAAGAATGGAGGTTTCCTCACTTATTTATGAACAAATTAGACTATATGATGTTACTCAGGAGATAAGATATTCAGGCAGTGCTGAGAGGGTCCTTGGATGTTATCTAATATAACAGTAATAAGGTGATGCTGGTGAGACATTATCATTCTGACATTACGGTGAAAACCACTTACCTTCGAACCCTCCTTTCCAGCAGATCCAGGTAATCCATGTTCACCCGGTGGCCCTGGTGAACCTGGATGGCCTCTATCTCCAGTGGGTCCTGTCTCACCAGATTTACCCTGAAAATAACCAAATGAAACAATAACCATTAAAAGACAATTGATAAAAACAAGAAGAGCGCCAAGAGAGCAAACTTTAGCCTTAACGAATATTTCAATACTCTAGGATATGTAAATCTGTCAGCTCAGCCACGATACATAGACTGAATGTCACTGTGAAGATACATTTCTTCACAGTGTCTGTCTAAATATTCACAGCTTGATACTCAAATCCTCACTGCTACAATTTTTTGTGTTTTCTTCCTTGTTTCATGATGCACACTTGCAATAATTTTAATGAAAATCAGGCCAGGAGGGGGTTTAAGCATATTCTGCAAACAAACAGTCACATTGCTCAGACATCAGAAACTCTTCTTACCTGTGGTCCAACAACACCTGGGGGGCCGGGAGGACCATTTTTGCCTTGGAAACCCTGAATAAAAACGATAAGTGAGTAGTATTCAATCAATTCAAGTTGATTTAAAGTGAATGGGAAATCCATAAACCAATCACCGATGGCAACATTCAGTACAGGGTGTTAAACTATGTATGGAGTCAATGTTTGCATTCATTTTCCTACAGAATGACAGTTTCATTGGCTGGGACAAGGAGATAAAGGGCGTTATTTTATGGCATATTTAAGGTCTTTAAAGGATGCATCACCTAGGAAGCACAATAACAGCATAAGTACGGCAACATTAAATAAGAGAGTTTACACCGCAGTCATCTATAGAAGAAATCCCCCTCTCTGTGTTTTTCTGTCAGGGTTTGTGTTTGACAGCAGACCCTTCTCTTCTCTCTTGGGGGAATCATCCATTGCTCGATCATGGATGCCCTATTTCTCTTAGGCAAATAAAATAATAATGAAACAGGCATTATTAAATCTGCATCCATCGCTCTGCTGAGATTTATGTCACAGTAGCATGGACTTCTGACAACCAATGTCCCAACAGCTTGTCCTGGAGTCCAAGTTTGCATTTGTGGTAATGCTGTAATATCTTCTAGCTATTCTTAAGAAGGGGAAAAGAACTATAGTGTTGCTGTAAATTTTCATCGCCCTTTTCTGTAAAAATGTCATCACTTCATAAATTTACCCTGTTTAAAATTCCGAAACAGAATCACCTCATAATAGGTGAATAATTTTCTGATATATAGCCAAAACCTTTTTTTTTTTTTTTTTAAAGATCAGCATGTCCTTGACTTTGACGACAAAATCGGGACAAGACTGCCCTTGAGTCCGAGCCAACCTTTGAGTCAAGTCTAAACACATTCCCTCTGGTTGTATCGAAGATATTGCAGTCACCACACGTGCTTGTTTCAAAAACAAACAACCTCAGATCATTATGTCTACTTCAATGGCTGTTGCTCATGCTGTGGCATAAAAATGCCGAGTGTCTAACTTAATGACAATAAAAGTGACTCACTGGCTCCCCTCTCTGGCCTGGATGACCTGGTAATCCATCTTTTCCTGGCGGTCCCTGAAAGAGAAGCATTTTCTTACATCCTGGTAATGAAGTGACAGTGACCAATGGTTAGCAGACACTTTACAATCCAGTATAGTTTACCCACATTAGGCCCTTTAGGTCCTGGTTCTCCATGTCTTCCCTGTGGTCCATTGGGACCCTAGAAAATAAAATGACCAAATTTCAAAACTTCAGTTGTTAGTTAAATGAAAACTTTTTCCCTTTTTTTTGTCAGACATTCGGCGGTTATCAAAGTATTAACAGTTAGATTACCAGTTCTCCGGTCGATCCTGGGGGACCATCCAGTCCAGAAGAACCCTACCAGGGAGCCAAGGAGGATAAAAAATTAAAATACCCTTTCAGAACAAGCAAACAAACCACTTCAACACTTTTTAGTTCTCTCCTTGCCAAAAGTTGTTAAGCTTTCCCAAGATGCTGTTTGAGGGTGAGAGCGTAAACTGAAGCATCTCCTGCCAAACAGTAGCTTCTCACTGCACCAGATGGCCTGTCATCTCCAAGTGAATAGCAACAAGCAGCTCCAAGTCGGTCAGCTCAGTCATCCATACTTTATGAGACAGCCAGGTGTGTGTTTATGTGTCTAACTGCAGGTGCATTTGTCTTTGTTTGCGTCAGGCTGTGTGGGGTTCGAGTGTGTTTGTTTCTCACCTTTTCTCCGGGCTTTCCAGTGGGTCCCTTCGCTCCCCTGCCCCCCCGGGCTCCCTATCGGAAAACAAACAAGAGTCTGATTAGCACATGCATAACTCATCTGGAGGTGGAAGATAAACGTCTGGTGATGTGAAAACACTGCGGTGATGTAACCGTCTGCCTCCCACATTATGCAGCGAACTGATACTATCTAATTAGAGAAACCTTAAACAGCTCTATACATGGACTAAAACGCAGACTTACATTAGAACCTCTCTGGCCACCAGGCCCAGGTTGACCAGCCGGACCCTGCAGAGCAGAGGTTAAAAATGATTCAACATTTCTTCTGAGACGTGTAGATATTTTTTAAAGCTGTCAGAATGTGAGTGTGAAATTGTCGCCGCAGTCCTCACCCTTCGTCCTTTCTCTCCTATGACCCCGGCAGCACCAGGGAAGCCAAGAGATCCCTGCAGACACACGTAGAGGTTAATCATCTTCAGTCTTCCATTCATCACCCAATACCCCAAACGTCTCATTAACGTATAATTAACCACTGTATCAAATTAAAGCAAATCTAATCCATGAGCCTAACACAGCTCTAAATACACCATTCATCAACATGTAATGAATTGATGTCACTAATGACTATTAATAAAATAGCCTTTTTTAATAAGCCATTCATCATCCTTTGTTTTTAATCAGACAGGAAACAGTCCAGGCAAAGACACACATCTAGCTGGTTAAAGCTGTGCTACAAGAACCAGAGGACACATTAACTGATCATCATTGCTCATCAGTGCTAAATCACCTTAGAACCCTGTCTTCCTGGGTATCCTGGCAATCCAGGCACGCCAAGTTTACCCTGCAGAGACACGGGCAGAGTGAGAGGGGAGGAGGAATTAAACCAGAGGAATATTAAAAAGAACAGTGCATGAAAATCATTTAATTAGGACTTGTATGACTCACTGCTGAATATGCATGTACTAATACAGCGGGATATCTCTAGCTTAATTTGTTTAAGGTTGACAGAAGATTAAATGCTTAAACATGCGTACTTGTTCGGAGGCAGTCTCCTTGGGAATAGGATGTAACTATATGTGATTAAAGCTGAGGTACCATAATCTATATGTTCTGCATCTCAATGGCTTTTAGACACTCCTATCTAAAAATGAAGCTTCTTTACGAAAGATAGAAGAGATGCAGCTGTACAACTCAGAATCAGAAGGGGTTTTATTGCCATTGTTGATGAACACGATTCACAGACTAGGAATTTGTTTTGGCATGATGGTGTGACAATAAACAGAGAGAAATGTAAAATACTAGAATAAAAACTAATAAGAGCATACAAGAAATATATAAAGTATAAAAATATAAAAGTATAAAAGGTTATGTACAATGCTATGTACAACTCTGAAATCTGTAGTCTGGTGGCCTGTTAAAATTAATTTTCCATCTTTTTTTCATCATAGATTTGTCTTTTAGTCTAATCTTTAAAATTTATACCTTCTCGCCAGCTATTCCAATGGCTCCTGAATCTCCCATGGGTCCTGCTTGGCCCTTAAACCCCTCAGGTCCATCTTCTCCACGAGGACCAGTGGCTCCATTATCACCCTAAGAATGAAACAAATAGGTTATATATCCACTATGGTTGACAGAAACCGAGGCTAAGGCTTTTGGGTTTTTTTTCCATCTTTTGGAGCTCTTACCCTGTCTCCCTTGATACCCATGTCACCTTTGAACCCAGGGAAGCCGTCTTCTCCCTGTGATGTATCAATTCAATTCAATTTACCACATTTTATTCATCCCCGAGGGGTGATTGCTGAGGCGAGAACAGTCGAAAGAACATAACATAACATGACGAATACTCTATAAAAGCTTTTTAACGATAAACTGAATCATCACATTGTAATTTTTTTTTTCTACTGTCTAGACAACAAGCAACAGCGCAGACTCACCTTCTCTCCTTTGCTCCCCTTTAGACCCCTCACTCCATCTGCTCCCTGTAGAGAAAGAAAAACAACAAATTCAACAAAAAATATACATACCTGCCAACATTTGGGGTATAAATCAAGGGGATTTTTGCGGGCAGTTTTGGAGTTACCTTGTATGGTGGATATGAGTCAATTATGAGAGTATTTGTAATGAGATTACTCATCCAAATAAGTTTAAGTGAAGCTGCACACTTTTTGTTTTGTTTTAACTATTAAAAATGGTAATAGAAAAATAGATACAATATGCCTTGAACTTATTCAGTCCACTAATATTGGTGTTAGACTCTTTTGTCTGAGGCTGCCCTGAATGCATCACTCTGAGACGGTGCAAGACTATCAACGTAAATATTACATCTCGTGTTTGTTTCCTTGTCATGGAGGTGATCCAATTCCTGAATGAACCTGGAAGATACAAACTATGGGAGATTCCCGGGAGAAATGACAATATGGGAGGTGGGCGGGAGATAGGTCTGAAATACGGGAGAGTCCCCAGGAAAAATTGGAGGTATGAAAATATCACATCACTGACAAGCTGAGAGGAAATACTAGAGTTCTGCCAAAAATGCTGCATCTTAAAATCTGAAATTATTTGATACAGTTCATAGTTTTTCTTTTGACCTAGAATTGTTTGAGTAGATTTTGACCTCGTTTTCATTTTATACTAATGATGGCCAACAAGGCCAGGTTTCCGCTAAGGGACACTAAGCCAAACTACCAGATGCAAAAAAACACAGGTGTGAAAGTGACAAAAACAAACACCAGGCTGACAGCCACTTCATGACAGCTACGCTTTTATTCCTCGATTCCAGAAACTCACTCAGTCAGAATGGACTGTTCTACACTAACAGTACACACACACACACACACACACACACACACTCTGCTCTGCTCTGCTATATCTGACTCTTTCATTCCTCCCATCTGTCAAATGTTCCTCACTCTGTTGTTAGCAGTCCCCTTGAGATCCGAGGTGCTTTCCCTCCACCTGTCATCTGTCACTCAACGACTAAAACAGCTTGTCCATCACAGGTAGACATGAGCGCAGAATGAAATGTGCAAGAGAATTAATATCTCGGTGGACATTACACCTGAGATAATGGTTTGTGCCTCACCTTGACGCCACGGGTCCCTGGGTACCCGACAGGCCCCTGAGCACCTGGTAAACCCTATATTTAGAAAAAGAACAAGATTATAAGCAAAACAACAGCCAGTATATTTTTTTCCCCTCTGTGTAGATAAGCAGTGCGTCCCGGCACAGTGGTTTGTGGTGGAAGAAACAAACATGATGAGGAACAAAATTAGGGTTTGCATAACTTCAGCCTTAGGCCAATAAGTGCACAGTTACTCCACATTGTTAGACACAGCATTTCATCAAGCTTCAATATTGTGCCATGATACTCGTGTATAGTGACCTACTTGAATGCCTTTCTCCCCGGCGGGGCCCTCTCTTCCTGGGTGACCCTGGGAAAGAGAAAAGGAAAACATGAATTAGATTGACAAAGCACTGTTGTCAGTACATTATCACTTAACATTCATGAATACAACCCATTAAAAAGACAAAACACCTGCAACCCTGAGACTGTTAGACATTAATGTCACAAGGCATTGGAGAACCATGTGCAGCATCAAGAGAAACTCATCTGAATGCATCTGAATGGACTGTTGAAGTAATTCGAGGAGCTGAAAACACCTCACTATATTAAGGTTTTTCATTCTTCCTATTTCATGCTCCTCTAAACTAATTCCAGGAATTTCTTGTACGGCCCAGTTTAAAAAAAATGTAGATTTTATTGTGTAGCGGTGCATCGCCCTGTACTGAAACAGTTTGCCGTCTACCTGTAATTCCCTTTCCAAGAAGGATTTAAACTCTCTTTCTGTGGTGTAGCATTTTTTTATGTAAAGTTAATCCAATCTTGATGTCTTAAACTATTCGGGGAAAAAAGGTTTAAAAAACACTGGTTATTTAAATGTGTTGCACTGCTTGTATGGAGTAAAGCTCACCGTATTTGATCTTAAATCTGTTGATACCGAGCTATTATTCGTATGCAGTTTGTTTTGTCCTGAGTTGACTGTGGAAAAAGCAGTAGCAGCAGCACTCTCTCCTCTCTATTTATATGTAGATAGATGCTCCATGTGCAGAGGCATAGATGCATGCTACTGGTTTGTTTGTGTGTGTTTGTGTTAATGCTTGCATTATTGTACTTGTGTGTTTGAGTGCTTACAGGAGGGCCATCAATGCCGGGTAGACCCTGCATGCCTTCTTTTCCCTGGGGACCCTGTAAAAGAGAAAGAGCCATGAATACCGGAGTTAAGCTTTCAATGCGATGTAGCGTTAGCTTTAACTTATTCCGGAAATACCGCATTTCCATGTTGAAGCTGTTCTACTAAACATACTGAATTCATGTCTTGGTCAGCTTTTTATTTCTTCTATCAGTCTCATCAAGCCCATGATGAGCACCGGCCAAGGCTGTCCCAAGTGTCTGTTGTGCCTGTGTGTGTTTCTTGTGTATTGATTTCCTGTCTGGCCCTGTCTCGTCTGAACAGGAGCCAGAAGTGCTCGGGTCGTACTCTGCAGCTCAGCGCACTTCCCCATGGGTATGTGATGACAGGGGTCATAAGGTCATAGCTTTAATTCTGAAATTAAGTGAGAGACATGCTACCTACCTTCTCTCCCGGCACTCCGATGGGACCCTGAGGACCGGGCAAGCCCTGAACCAGAACAAAGCATCAATCAGGCTAAGTGTCACAAGATCAGGAGAGAGCTGGGGGCTGAGGTTTTGCTGAAGGCTGTGTGTTATGTGTGTTTAGCATGGGTCTTGTCAGTATTGATAATAGGTATGAGTGTTGATCTTTGTATGAGTAGGGGACTGGATGGATTGTTGAAATATATATATATAATCGCCTTTATCCGGCTGTTAGCGTCTCTGTAAACGTTATGAAATTGCATGTTGCTGCTGCTGGGTGACAGCCTTTTATGTCCAAAAAGACTCTTTTCATGAGGTAATTAAAACAGCCTTTTATCCAGAAGACACTCTAGAGCCATGCAGTTGGATTAATACAAGGTTTTTATTTACTAAGAGGGTCAGCAAATTTCCTACAAACACAGAAGGGCGAGCGAACCTTCAGTTTTTAGGCTGTGAAAAAATAGTACACAAAATAAAGAGCCTGTCAGAGGGGGTTTAATTAAAGTGTCAGCATGCACATGGTTGTGTGTGTGACTGTAACTTAGTTGGAAGATTTGTGAACTCGAGCTGTGACACTTTTTTAGTCTGCAATACCTGAACTCCTGGATTTCCCTGTTGCCCCGGGGGTCCTATCTCTCCAGCTGGTCCCTGAAAACAAGAAATGTTGATAATCAAACCTCATGTGATCTTTGTTGTGAGCTTATCATTAAATGACAGGTTATTGGTTTCTTAGAGGGCCACTTAACCCTCCTCCTGTGTTAGGGTCTGCACCGACCTGTTTTTGATTTTAAATGCCTAAAAGAACCACTTAAATTAGCTTTTCTACATTAAGACTTTTAGACTTTGTCAGGAACCTCTATTTCAACAAAATAAAAACAAAAAAATTAAATTGACTAAATTATAAAATGCTCTTATTAAAATGATGGCACTAGTCGTGTTAGGGTCGCTGTTGACCTGGTTAGATCAATAAATAATAAGAGCAAAAACTAAAATCATAAGTGCACGGTCAGGCACCACACTGACAATCAGATCCACTTCTAATCTTGTGAGATTTAGGAAATTCCCATTTTGCCAAGTTTTTCCCTGCACAAAAAACAATGTTGAGCATGTCCAGACATGTGAGATCAATTTAGTATGGATGTCTGTGTGAGGAGTATACTGACAAGGAAAGGTCCAGAGGCCCACTACAAAAACTTTCTAAGCAATATTTTCATGGATAATGAAGCCTAACAAGGTAACCTAGAGATGAGAACCAAACTGGATGATAGAGAACTGTTTTTTATTGTGATTTACAGCTGATTTATGACACGGGTCAAAACCGACCCTTAACATAGTGGGTTCGTAGTAAAAGCTAACACAGGAGGAAGGTTAAAGCCATTTTACTGTCGCAGAGATCACTTTGTAAAAACTGTTGAAATCCACTTCATCACTTCAGTATAACGGTATCATGACGTGTTCATGAAGTTGACAGCACTTACCAGGTTGCCCTTTTGTCCTTGAGCTCCATCAGTTCCAGTTATACCCTAAAGGACAAACATAAAAGACGTCAGAGAAATTCATTAAAAACTCCCCCAGTTATCCCCGGCATCACACTGACAATTAGATGACATAAAAAAGACCTTTGATCGAGTTTAAAAGACAGAGAACCTCTGATTCTGTAATCAAGACATTGTTCACTCACCAGTTGGCCAGGTGGGCCAGGTGGCCCCCTCGGCCCGACAAGACCCCGAGGACCCTGGAGACAAAACACAGCAAATAGTCAGCAGCTAGCCTGAATTCATGATGAGGTGGGGTAAGTGTTGAATACTAAATCATAAATCAGAACTAAGGCAAGGGCTGAAAAACAGGGAGAGACAGATAATATGTTTTAGTGTGTGTGTGGGCGCATCTGGTGTGTACGTGGTCGCCACGGAGACTGCGCAAGCCTGTATTTGCGAGCCCTGTTTTTGTCAGCCTCCCTCTTTGTAGGCTGGCCAAGCCACCTGTTCCAAAGCCACATCTGTGATCTCCTGGGAAGTGATTGATATGGAAATATAATCATTCGGGCCAGGATTTTATCTCTTCCCTCTCCGGCTCCCTCTCTTTCCTCTCTCCATCTCTCTTATCTCTCCCACCACCAACCAAATTTTAGTCCTGCGTTTGTCTCTCACTGTCTCACTTCTCCCATCGCTTCCTCTCTCTCTCTCTCTCTCTCTTTCTCTCTTCAAAAAACAGTCAACCCCTCTCCCTTCCTGTATCTTTGTAGTTAAACACTGCTTTTCTAACATGTCTTGTGGCACTCTATTTCTTCCTGCAGTAGGTGATCCATTTGGAGGGACAGAAACCCCACTGAGCCTCAGCCTCACCTACTGGGAGAAAGATAGAGTGTGAGTCATAACCAATCAACCAGTGTTCACCCTTGAGATACACAGAAAATAACAGATCTTAAGGTCTTTGTGGACTCTCATAGCTCCAAAGTTGCATCGCAGGCTTTGTGTAGAATACATGAGCGTGCTTTGTCGATGTTTATGTTTGTGTTCACCTCCTTCCAATGACCTTTCCGTCCTTTATGCTCGGATGAACACTGTGTTCAGTGCATTAATAAGATCTGACCATTCTAGCTTTTACAAACTTGTCCTACATTATTAAGCATTTTGCAGTGTTTCACTTGTGTTTGTACATGTGCAGTTTGAGCTGCAGAAGTTGTACTCGTGTAAATTCTTCTGTAAGACTTTGGCTGCAACTCCAGCTGAAGCCTTAATCCAGTGATCTCCCCAAATCCCCTTAGGGTTTCTTTCAGAAATCTTTTGTTTCAGTGATTTTACACCAAGAATGAGCTTTTTGTGTGAGGATACTCCTAAAAATCCAAAGACTCTTATGTTTTTTTAAATGTGCGTGTATTATCTGGGAGGGTTAGATTCGTCCAGATGTGGTTACTTACAGGCTCGCCTGGTTGCCCTCTCGGCCCCACAGGACCATCAGATCCCTAAAACGAGAGGAAAACAGATTCATCACATAAATCTTGCGCACTGTTGTACATCAACCCTTGATGCGGAAACATTCATATCCCCACAGACATAATCTGTGAAAATAGCTCATTAAAGAAATTTGCTGGCTGACAGATAAGGCTCAACTATCTTCGAGCACAGACTAATAGACCGCTCTCAGAACTTACCCGCCTGCATGGATTGATACTATCTTGACGGAGCCTCTATCTTTCATATTTTCAGTACTATGCGAGGGATGCACTGATTTGCATTCATGTCTCTTTGCAAACGTTGATGCTGAATGAACTCAGGACAGCGCAGCAGAATCAGAAAATTTCTAGAGTTTGTGAATTAATTTCCTTAAAGACCTTTTTGATCTGTAGTGCTTTTACATCTGAATGGCTTGCAGAATTGATTCACTGATCTGGAAATGGTTTTCCTTTTAACCTCGCAAAATGGAAAAGTACGTATTACAAAGCACCGCTGCAGGTTTTTCTGTTGCGAGAAAAATACTGTGCACTCACCTTTTCTCCTGGCTCTCCGACAGGCCCATGAGGACCAGGCTTTCCTCTGTCCCCCTACAAGATAAAAGCATTAGCAACAAGCCTGGAGATATTTTGGTTCTTTCTGTTTGTAGCAGAGCAATATCAACCAAATGCTGTTTTTGTAGTCGTATGCTGGAATCACAGGAATCCCAACAATCAGCAAGATCAAAATATGCAAATAAACATCTGCCGTATGCTGTGTGAGGTATTTATGCATGCTCTGCAGTGTGTTAGCGGCTGAATGGCTAAATTAATACAGTTATATTTAAGTCACCGGTTTCAACTCACTCTATGTCCCTTGTTTCCTGGGAGACCTGGCAGGCCGTCAAAACCCCTGTCACCCTGAAAAGTAATAGAGAAGCAAGTGCATTAAACCCTGAAGCCACACACATACGGTAATGTGTAAACATTAGCAGAAATGTGGTGAAAGTCTCCCCTGGCAGAACCTACCATCTGCTCTGAGTATGTGTCAGGGAGACGGGGCTTGCAGATTAGCTGTAGGTCTGCTAAAAATGCTGCTTTGACTGATAAAGACTCTGCTGTTTTGTCAGAGCCGGCATCAAGGGAGCCTTATTTATTTACTAAGCTCTTCCTGCAGCTGTAATGTATTGAGCTGCTTCGTTGTCAATACATATAATAAGCTGTGGGATGCTGGATACCTAAAGGCTTACACTTAAACACAAAGTTTGTTAACATACAAGACCTTCCTGCAGGAACACATGGGTTAATAATGGATCTTAGCATCAAACGTAACTCACAAGTTTTAAAAACACGCAGCAGTGCAGTAAGAGCACAAGGAAAAACAAACCTACGGGTACTATGTGCTGCTGAACCTAGAGAAACTATCTGTACTTCAAACCAGATCTGTGAGACATCAAAGAGTTTACCTTCGCGCCTGTTTCACCAGGAGCTCCGCGACCCCCGTCTACTCCAGCACGCCCCTACAAGACACACCATCATTTTAAAAAGGTTTAATTATTTAATGTTTTTTTTAGCTACATTCGTTCACTGTGTTGCTACTTGCTATACTCGATATATCTCACCCTCTTTCCCACTTTTCCATTGATTCCTTGAGGACCGGGCAACCCATGTGGACCCTTAGAACAAGAAATGCAAAGAGGTGAAAGAAAAAGTGAATAGTGTGACAATAAAAGAGTGGTACAGTGCTAAAAGAGGACTTGGTCTTACAGGAGGGCCGCTGTCCCCCCTGTCTCCTTTCAGCCCTGTGGCACCTGTAGTACCCTGTAACACAGAAACAAGAATTCATTAAAGCGTAACATGATGTAAAGAAGCTGTATAACTTTTCACTCAATATTAGCACCAAACTTACAAAATGTAAATGAGCTAACGGGCAAATCATTTAAAATTCCACTCACTTTTGTAACCCTGTAGTTATTCCACAATCACAACAAATTGGACATAGTGAGCATGCATACTGATGAAGTATGGAGGGTAGGGGAGCAGAATAGAGGTTATGTCTGGTCAGACTGAATAAGGAAGTTGAGGCAAAGGTTGCAGAAGTACTGGGGGTGAGATGCAGATTTTGTAAAGGTCAGGGGACGTGTCTTACCAGCGGTCCCGGTCGCCCTGTGAGACCCATCGCACCTGGAGGGCCCCTCAGTGACAGCTGAAGGGAAAAAATAAGTGGTTTACAACTTTAGACTTTTAATGAATTTGTCTTCACATAGAAGTCAAGAGTTTTGAGTATCTACCCTGGACTGTTGTAGGATAGCCTGAGCCTGAGCTTCTAGGGGAGATGCCACCGGTCCTTTCTGGGAATCACCTCCAAACTGGAACTAGAGGCAAAACAAAGAAGAATCAGTCCCCACTGCAGGATTCCCCAATGTAAATGAAGTTCAATCACACAGCCCCCCCTTGTGGTCATGCTGCTACTCAACACCGGGGAAGGGTTTGTCTACATATGTGTGTGAATGTGTGTGTGTGTAAGAGAGAGAGAAGGCATGAGTGTAATCTAAAGTCTTACTGGTAGCATCAATAGTGTTCCTGGGGGACCTGGAATCCCATCAACCCCTGCAAGACCAGGACGTCCTGGGGGACCCTGAAAGAGAGGACGCAGATAGGGATAAGCATCAGTTTCTGTGTGTATGGTGGTGTGTGTGTGTTATTAAGTCTGTAAGTGTGTCTGTGAGGGTGGCACATAAACAGAGAGAAAGATAGAGGCGAGGAATGAGTGTCATTGGAGAAAAGGGGAGAGTTTCAGCCTAATCACTGTAAAAATGACCTTTGCTCTATATCAGCTAAGCTTATCGCACACACATAACCTTTATCTCCTTGTTACACGCTGTAAATATCGACGTAAACAAGTCATTCCAGGTTACATAGAATCATAAAGATTGTGATCACCAGATTACAGCTGACGTAATCCTGGAAGTAATCTAAATGTTGAGATATTTTCATTTTAAGACGGTTAAATACATTTAATACAAAATAACCCTGAAGATGAATGAACTGCATTAACAAGCTAGGTTCCACTAAACCCAAGAGATTGGGAGTAATTTTCTTCCTCAGACATTAAAAGGATGTCAGTTCTATGAAAAATTCATGAGCAAATCAAACAGGCATCAATCACTTGTGGACTGATTTCACTAAGTCAGACAGTATCAAGTTTTAGCATGAACAAACTCATTTTCCCTTTGAGTTTCAAGATTTGAAAGTGAGCTACCAAAGAGTTCACTGAAAGGCATTTAGCATTAATGTGAACATATTTTACCCCTTTACAACCATTAGGACTCCAGGCACCCAAGAATATTTGGAAATATACTTAAATGTGGGGTTTTTTTATAGACCCCTCCCTTCAAAGCATGTTTTAAACAAGTAAATATACATAGAATAAACATAAAGATGTAAAATTAACATTAAAACAGCTTTAATATGTACACCTACGAATATGCGAGGGAATGATATATTACATTAAATGTGTTAAGTCGCAATAGCTCATTATTTCTTGTTTCTTTTTTATGGTAAAACTTGATACTGCTCCATATTATTATAGTTTTATGACCAAATATCTGCATTATTCATGTTTTCCTCACTTTTAGAAAAAAGCATCAGAGTCAAGAGTATCCATCAAAGCTGCAGTTTCCTTAACTTTGAATTAAAATAAATAAACAAATAAATTAAAAAATGGTTTGTTTGTTTAATGGGTTGAACCTGAACCTTACAAAGCTACTAAAGGGTTTTTATGACTGGAAGTTGATGTTACTCTCAACCAGATTTTTCTGCATACCAGTAAACTACCATCAACATCTCTGCCAAGCAAAATGACAAAAACCATCAACAACTGTCAGAGCATCTGTCAGTGTGTGCGTGTGCATGTGTGTTGGAGCCGGTTCAAGTTTGATGAATCATGGGCTAATACATTTTGTCGAGCAATCACACACTGACGAAAATCAGGTCAAGCATGTGTGAGTCAGCATCCGGCAGTGAGGTCCAGCAGGTTCAGTTCAGGACCAAACCAGGACATTGTGATCCCACAGACGTGTTTAAATTTGGGTTAAGCCCAAGCTGAAGGGGTAAAACTCGTCTGTAACTACCCAGTGACCCAAGTGAGTCCAAGACCGGGCGTATGCTACACTCACCATTTCACCGGGATCCCCCCTGGGTCCTGGAGGGCCTGTTGGTCCAGCTGGGCCTGCTAGTCCCTGTGAGGAAAACATTTGCAGCGCTCAAAAAATAAAAAATAAAAACTCTAAGGAACATGCAGTTATAGTCCTCGTCTTCATGGCCCCTCAAGCTTTCTAAGTCATGACCTTTAAGAATAATATGGTTGGAGTCTCTTTTTAGCATCCGAGGAGAGTTTTTAAAAGCCTGACCCCCAAAAAGCACAACCAGGATTATCAAACAACCCACATACTTTATTTGCATTAATTATGATTCACAGTCCAGCATATCTCTCTTTGCTTTCGCTTGTATATCTAGGTGAACTTTATAAAGAGAGAGCTGACAGCACCAACTTGAACAGCCACACTAATGTGTAATTAACTGGATTTATAACTCAACTATTCCATTATATATTTGGTTGTCAACCCCTCTGGTAACCCCAAGAAATCATCTTGCAATTGCTGCGGAGGACTAGACCCTGAGGTTGAGAATCACTGGTCTCCTTCAGCAGAACCGAAACCTATTTTCCAAACTGAATTCAAATAGAAGAGTAATTACACCCTGAAAATCCAGTTTCTTTCCTGCTAAATCTTAATTCATACAATCTGAATTTCACATTTTGACAATCCCTATCATCCCATTTTAACACATCCTATCATTTCACAATCACCATCATTCCTGTTGACTTACCTGAGGCCCTACTAGACCTGGAGGTCCTTCCGCTAATGTGCCCTAAAAAAAGGTGCAAAGAAAGGCATGTAAATTAGAAGACTAACACACTGTTTCCATAATCATATCTAAAGCTATCGGGCTGCTTCTTTATTCTTTCCAGCAGCTTACCGGCTCAATAATAGCTGGCTCTCCCTTCTCGCCTTTCTCTGCTCTGAGGCCAGCCTGAGGAGGAGAAACATATGAAGCAAATCACTCGATACAGTCAATCAAAGACGTGACCATTAATTTGATACCAGAGTTTACTTTAAGATTTTACCTCTCCATCCCACGTCTGAGCTCTTTCCCGCTCAGCGAAGTCGTAGCCGTCGTCATAGGTTTCGTACTCTTCGTAGGACGACTCTGTGTCATTCTTGTAATCTTCATATTCAAGAATCTGTCAGGGTACAGACATAAGTCACAACATAAAAATAACCTCAGCGCTGAGGTGAGCACACTCAAAGTGTTTTGCTTCCAACCTACCTCATAGTCAGTCATATTTGGACCCACTGTTACCGTGGAAACAGAGAGATCATCATAGAGGTCTGCATAAAGGTCATCTCCATACTCCTCCACCACTGGCTTCTTCACCGGCATGCTCTCCTGCAGGCCAATGAAAGAGGCGTAAATGAGTCACAGCAGAGGTTAACCAGGGGACACCGAGCATGTCTCATTAGTGCTCAGCAATGTCGAGGGGGCTGCACATTTTACAATGTACATCATGAATGTTAGCATAACAGGTGTTTTTTACGAGGGAGTGTTGATTATCCAGGCTACATACAGGTTGACAGGTGTGCACGTTAATTGCAGTGCTGGGATGTAATTCGCTGATGGAATACATCGCATTCATGTGGCGGCGTGGCACAGACTACGACAAGCTACATAAACAACATGAGCATGAAAATTAGTTGACTTGGTAAATAAGTCAAATTTAAACATGAGGGGTTCAAACAAGCAGCCTCTGCAGGTTGCTGTAGGAAGTTAGAAATGTATGCTTTATAAATAAATAATCTAACATTATCTCACATTATGTTGAGTTTAATATTAACCACAAACACATACCTATTGGTTGGCACAAAGAAAGACATTCACTGTATCTAACATGCATGGCATACTTTAAGATATATGATATGCATATTATACTATTTTCAAGCATACGCAGCCATATAATAAAGCCAATGGATGGATTATGGATGCAGCAGGCGGTGATTAAAATGGTGCTGGTTAGTGGTGGTGGCGGTAAGACGGTAGTAAGGGTGCTCTCTATGTTAGGAGGTCTTCAGGGAGTGATCAGTTAGAGCTGCAAATGGGAAGAGGCAGTTGAGCTGGAGGGGATCTACAGATAAACATGTCTACCTCCTCGGTAACCTCTGTTTCAGGCGATGCACTGGGCACCACAGTTGAAGAGTCAGGCTCATGTGTGGGCATCTCCATGTGGCTCTTTTCTTCAGATGCTTCAGCGGGGATCATAGTTTCCAAAGTACTCTCAATTTCAGGCGTCTCCGTGGGCCTAAAAGGTTCTTGGGATAGATACTCGGGCAGTGTTGTGGACACCCTGAGGAAGCCATCTTCGAGACCCTCCTCCTCGTGTTTTTTCTTTCTGGATCCTTTCTTGCCCTTGCCTTTGCGTTTGCCTTTTCCTTTAGAGCCCTTGTCCCTCTTCTTTTTGTTCTTCTTGCCCTTTTTCTCCTTTTCGGAGGGCTCCTGTGGTTCGCTGGGCTGGTCACTTTGCATCATGGCATCGGCAACAAGTTGGGTGTTCTTTTATGAAAAATGGGGGTGTAGGACGAGGGCACAGGATAGAAAGAACATTAACACTACTGGAAAAGAAAAGTGGTGAAGTAAAGCAAACAGATCCACTGTTGAATACCTACTTAGATTCCCACAGAGCTGGTAAAAACCTGGAGCAAACATGAAATGAGGAAAGGACAAACGAATGTGGAGCTGTCCCCTTTTAGTCAAAGCAGAGGACTTGTTTGTTTGTGAGGTCAGGGGTCACCTTGTCTCTAGTTCTACAGAGGTGCTAATTCTCAGTGTGTTCTGGCAACCGACAAATACAGCATGAGTCATCCCACAGAGTGACTTCAACTGCATGTCAGTGGTATGACTGGCCTGAGCCTGAAAACGACGCTGAGGGCCCAGTCTGTGAAAGATATCAGTGATGTGATTTAGATCCACTTGTAAACAAGGTCAGTGTGTTAGAGAGAATGATGGGAAGTAGGTCAGTAGGGGGACAGATGTTGACATATTCTGGATTCGGAGCTCATTGCTCAGCTGTTGTTATAAAATCCAGCTGGAGGACAATCCAAATGGCTGCACGCTATCATTAGGAAACCATCTCTGGGGCAAAATCAATAACCAGTGTTCGCGGTTGTCAGCAGACTCATGATGCACATACTGTGTACAAGTGTATGCATGTGGTGTATCGAAATAAAGCAGAAATAAAACATTTAATTGTTTTGTTAACGCTGTGAATTCCTCACAAGTATCTCTCTGCCTCCTTCCTGCTCACCCCTTTCTTTCACACACAGCCATAGAAATAATTCATAACAATAACTGATTCAATAACTACATAAATGCCCTGAAGAAGAGGAAGGCGTATATATCATGTCATGTCAGAGGCTTGTGTCTCTGTGTGTGTGTGTACATCCTGTACCTGACCCCACGAGTGCTCCACCATTGGCAGCTTTTAAAAAAAGACACTTGCCTTTGACTGATGGCCTTACCCGCCTTAGTCTCTCTTATCTTTTTTTTTTTTTGCACACACTCAGCACACCTCCGCTGTACTCGGATCTTTTTTTGGCTGAGGCTGTTGTCTGCTTGTAAATCACACAGGTCTTGAGGCATGAACTGCAGGTTTATTGATAGGCATGCTTTTGCTTCCCTCGCTGGTTGGCTATGAAACAAGCTAATTTAGGTGTTACATAAAGAGGGACGTTGTTTTAACATGAGCACTAGAAGTAGAAGCTCCTTGAGTTGTCTCGTTTTTTTTGTAAAACGCAGTCTCTAAGGGAGTGTGGAATCACTTAGCGGCAAATAAGACTGAATTTAGACATATTGGCCTTTCTTAACCTTTGAGCGACCTAAAGCTATAACTCATCAGACGAACCAGTGTAGAAGATTCTGCATGACTTTTTTTCTTGTGGGCATTGACTCATGGTGGCACCAGTACTGACCTCCCGCAGCTCCAGGGCGATGCTGTTGTAGGGCAAAGCAGAGTCACAGTCTGGTATGTAGTTAACGCAGTAGTCGGCAGCAGCTTGGGGATCCTCCAGAATCAGGAGTTGCTGAATATATCCCTAAAATTACCAAGAAAGACAGACAGAAGGACAGAGAAGTGCTGTGTTATAGAGAGAGCATGATTGTCTCACAGACATCAGCATGCAGAAGCTACTCCACAGTGAAAGGATGTTTGTGAGAATCCAGAAATTACACTTGTATCAAAATACCTCTGACACTGCAGACAAAATGTGAGCAGCATCACAATCTGCATGCCCAGATTTTGCCCGATCTGCAGCACTGTGGCATCATTAAACTGTCACCTCTGGTAAAATTGCTACAGCAGACGATTGTGTTGTTTTCCCTTAACTGCAGGAGAGCTCTCATTGTGTTCATAAAACAGTCAAATAGCTCTCTCTCACCCCCTTGTCAGGACCTTTCGCTTCCCAACCCACCCTGCAGGCGTAGCCGGTCTGTACACACAAACGCACAGAGGCAGCACTGCTGCACCCTGCAGCACTAAGCTGAGGGCCTCTGTTAGCTTTAGCCGCCTTACACTTAACTTCTCTTGTCTTCTGAGCACATCATGTTACTAAACAACTGCACTATGTACATTTCTTTTAAATTGCTTAATCACTTCCTCAAGTACATATTAGTTCATCAAGTCAAATGCCAGACAGATTAGTTATTAAACACTTTTATCCATCATCTGTTTCTAAACATTACATTTTATAAGCGAGTGGACAGTGAATGGTAAATATACTATGTTTATGAAGTGCTTTCTTCAGTCTTCAGACAGCTAAAAGCCCTTTTATATTACACGTCACATTCAGCCATTCATGCCGCATTCACACAGTGACAGCAGCTATGTAGATTAAAAACATTTCAGAGACACAAATATCTTTAATGAAGTAAAATATCTAAAAGACGAACTGGAAGTAAAAAACAACTGTGTGCTGCAGAGCTGACTGACTCTGAGAAATGAGTCCGAAAGTAATTCAACATAAACAAAATGCAGGCAGCCCCGCGGCACAGTGTTTGACAAGCTTTAGATTAGATTAGTGAAATGGATCTATGTAACTGACAGGCCATTGCAAACATATTGCCGGGTGAAATGTTATCCGGGGACAGCCGGGCAATGATTTGTGATAAATCAAGTCCGATAAACTGCTGCGTGTTGTGGTGATTATATATCCATTGTAATCTCTTTAATTAGGCTTAAGTGGCCAGAGGTGAAGTAAATCAAAACACTTTTTTTTTCCCCTGTATACCCACCATCAGCTCATGTATCCTCTTATACAGTTCAAATCATTCCTTATCAGTAATAGATCTTTAAATCAAATCTGAGTTGGCATACACAAGGGAAAAAAAAAACATATTCAATAATGCATCAACATAAAAGGCGTTCTTATCCACTCAGCCCTTTTCCTTCCCCTTTTTGGCCAAAAGCCAGCCTTAAACAAAGTAAATTATTGCACTTCAAGGTGACAGACAGAGGGAAAGAGTAAGAGAGAACAGCAACAGGGAGTTAATCCAATCTAATCCAATCTCAATTTAAGATCAGAGCCAACACTTTCACAGAGAAGTTTTTCTGTTTTTCTTGCCCAGCAGGCGCTGTCTTCTCTGGAAACCCAAAGAGAGTAAAGTTTTACCCAAATTCATGCGTTCGCTGCTTTTTTCCCACTTAGGACAAGGCAAGGACACCCGAAGAGGACATGTGAGGACATCCTGAAAAAGAAAAACGCCTTGACAAATTTCAGAAGCCTCCTCTATGAGGTGACATGATGTCTCTGTTAGCGAAGGAGGGTGACCTCTTTGATCCTTCCTGTGGTCTGTAATAAGGTGTGTGGTGCCAACTAGCCAAGATTCATATTGCTCCATTAAATCACAATCATGTAGATCATGTATGACATGCTGCATATTCAAGTCCAGTACCTAAACCAGAATACAGTCTGTAAAAACTCACTTCCTGTCTTGCATGAGACATAATAACTGCAGTTAAAAGAGCAACACCCCTATGACAAAGTAAGAGCGATGAAACAACATTTTCACAACAAACCAAAAACATCTGAACAGCATCAGATACAAGTCATTAACAAAGCAAAATCGGACTTAAAGAGGCCATGACCAATTTAATGTGTGTGTTGGATGTGTGTGGTAAATCGACGGGGTTGCTAAACACTCAAATAAAGCCGCGCTTTAATGATACGCATCAAAGTCACGATTTCGACATGCCCAAAACAGCAAGCCAAAACATTTCCTAATTCCAGATCTACTCCAGACAGAAAGAAACATCTGAGTTTCCACACAAATAAACGCTAGACTGGATCTTTATCTAAGCAGTCAGCGTGTTGGAGGCACACATACACGCAAACAAATACACACACACACACACACAAACACACACACAGGGCATGCAGTGGCCAAGGAGCAGCACCACCAGACTTGAGGACAGTTTCATGTTTGCTTTACTGCAGTTGAAAAGCAGAGCGCTGAATCTGGACACCGAAACTCTTGGAGACAATCTGGAAGCAATAGAGGCATTAGTGGCTGACCACAGTCCCCATGCTCCCACGCTGAGCTCCCACGCTGGGAGAACTGGGCCGGAACACCGGTCTCCTCCCACAGAACCAGGGCCTGGGAACAGAGGCCCGGAGGTCATCCTGCTTAATCTCTCCTCCCCTGGCACCAGCCTCACCCCGAGGTGTATGACACTGATGCTTAAATATAGACAGACTTATAGACATGACGTTCTTATTGCTGTGAATACTCTGTAAATATTTTTTTTTTTTAATCGGATGTTTCAAGGAAAAAGTAAACAGAGAAATACGGTTTCCACTCGCTCAAAAATCTGGGTGTCCCTACTCGTCTTTTGACTAAATTCAGTGCAAACCAGAAAACGTGCACCGGTTTAACAAGAGGATAAATCTAATCAACAGATAGTCTCAAGGGTATTAGTATTCACCATAAATACTGCATCATCATCATAACTCTTCCCAGATGATGATCTATCAGGACACGGGAGTGTTTTTGGAGTAAGGCCAAAGATTAAATGGTCTTCAGTGCTTCTGAAAAGGGAAATTTATTGAGCCCAAAAGGAGACGCGTTTCTCGGCTGAAGTGGGATATAAAGTTATTTAAAAGCTGGAATGTCTATCAGTAAGGGAAGGGTAGGAGGGAGTGGAGAGTAATCTACAGCTGGACAGCAGCAACTGAGGTTAACTTAGGGTATAGGGAAGGTAAAGTGAAAGTGCAGGCAGGGTTAAGAAGGTAATTATGGACTTCACACACACAAACAAAACCTAAAGGCAGTATAGGTGGTCATTTATCAGAGCTGAGGACATCTGTTGTTCTCCTGCTCAAGTAAAGGAGGCTGTACTTTCTGTCTATTAGGCCAACAGGGAGTGTTGAACCCCTCCCTGCGTACTTTCTTAAACTTTTACAGTTCCTTGTTGCAGACTGTGGGGTATTCGAGAACACAAGGGTTGAGAGGATGGTCGTTTTTTCTGTACTCGGCTGCGTCTCACTCTACTGTCCATCTTTCCTTTTCTTCATGCTCTATTGCTCAACAGACCCAGAGCCCCCTGGACATGGCAGGGAGGTGGCTGTGGTTGATCTTTATTTCATTCTATAAGAGAGGGATATAAGGGTTTCCTCATTGGGAGTGACAGCGAAGCATGGGTTGAATATGGCCCTGGGGATCACACAGAATAACTTCACACTAGAGGGTACTGCAGAGGAAAAGAGAGGACAGGAACTTTCACAAAGATGGAATCTATTTGCTCCTGAATTTTCCAGCATGTTCGTATAAATGGAGACACATTTTTCTGTGCTGAAGACTTGTACTTAGGCTTTAAATAGTAACTCACTGGTAAATTTTTCATGTAAATATATTTTGGAATGACTTCAGCAGTATCAGTACATATGATACGTGTTTCCTGTCAGGAGCCAAAACACTCACTCAGCGTCAATCATACTTTCTCCGCCCAAATGCACAGCTGGCTCTTCAGACTCCCATCAACAGATCTATAGCCAACAGATGTACACAGGCAAATCCAAAAGGCAAAGAGAATGTGTTTTTTCAAGGCTTTGCAGTGGAAATGAGGAGGTTGGGCAAGTCTGAGCAGCAACACTTCCCCCTGCTTTCTCTTTCCCAAACACCCTCTCTTTTCTGCTCTGCTTTGTTTCTACAGGGTTTGATTGACAGGAGAGACCCCTGTTACCCTGTTGCTTCTTGACCCATGATTTTACCTTTAAATCTTTTCTTAAGAAGCTTAAAAGACAGGTGAGGGGGGGATTCTCCCATTACATAAAGAACAGTTTTACTCTGCTTCTTTATCCACACAGGCATATACTGAATAAAACAAGGTACTGTGCTTTAGTTACAGAGAGTTAAGTACAAATTTTCTTCTTTTTTATCCGATTTTCAGGATTATACATATTTGATGGGTCTGAGATGTTGACAAGAATCTTAAAAAACTATGAGTAAGAGCACTGTTCTTTTTTTATCTGATTAACCAACTTTTCAAATCCTTTTCACTGCACTAAGTAGTAAAAATGTTCAAGCTGGAGGCATTTGTGAAATCTAAAGAGATACAAAAATGAAGCCAAAAGACAAAAAAAGTAATAAAGGCTTTACGAGAACAGAATGTAATCTTCATATCACCTAAGGTGTACACCAGGATTCTATTTCGAGATCTACTTGTTCCCTATTTTTCATAAAGTAGCTACAATAAAGGAATAATTCATTTCTACGCTGATGATACTGTTATCTATATGCATGTCCAACATCAACACTAGTATATTTTCACCTTACATCCTGACCCATAGTTATTTCTACAAAAGAGAGTTGGGGCTACAATAAGAGAAAAAAGTAATTACAGGGGATAGATTTTTTAATTTCCATTTCAAGATTAAAGTCGAAATTTCAAGGTTTAAGTCGACATTTTTACTTTTCAAGTATCATGTCGACTTTAATCTTGAAATTTCGACTTTAACCTTAAAATTTCAATTTTTCATCTCAGAATTTCTACTTTATTGAAATAATTTTGATTGTTTTCACCTCAATATTTCGACTCTAATCTCAAAATTTCAACTTCAACCTCCTTCCTGTAATTATTTGTTTTCTCTTCATGTTGCCCTCTTCCTCTTTCATATATTTCAGCCCATCTGGGTACATGGAAGGATCCTATAATTTGCTGCTCTTCACTGAACCCTGAGTTTGTGGAGAAAAAAATTGTCTTTTAATGCAAATTGGGCATATAATCATCTTTTAAATGGTCCTAAAATAGACACACACTAGTATCACTTAACAAACTCGTAAGTATCATGACTGATGTAGTGGCAGAGACATGTAGTTGTTGTTTCTTTAAGACCACAGTGTGTTTGAATATCTTATAATATGACATCTTTAAACTGTTGTGATTTCCCCGTGTTGTATAGTTAATGTTTTTAAATGAGTTTGGCTCACCCTGCCCGGGTTTCTCCTGTAAAAGGAGATTCTTATCTCAGTGGGGCTTCCTGATTCAATAAAGGTAAAATACTAGTATTATTGAAATAAAATACTATCCAGGCCTCCCATGGTTTACCTTGAATGATAACACAGAGTCCACATAAAACTGAAAGTCATGCCCTCCTTTTATCTACCTCCGTGCAGATATGTACAGAAAAGATCACAGTGGATCAGTCAAACCGGTTATTTTTCTGGGTAACCACTGAGAAAAGGAAATTGAAATTGGGACTTTTGTGACACCAAAGTAAAACACATACAGTTTCGAGGCTTTCAGACCTACTGTCCTACCTCAAATGCCGCCTCCTCTAGCAGCCTTGTCCCAAACACAGTGACCCCCTCTGTGCTGATCACAGCGTTGTCCCCTCTCTGCAGATCAAGGGTCTCCACTTTCTGACAGTCCAAGTACAGGGTCACAGACTTGTCCTGCACTCTGAAAGCTATCCTGTGCCACCTGAAAGCACAAAAAGTAAAAATTAACACACAGTGTGGGAACTCTGTATCTGTAGTATAGTCTGATGCAAAAGGCTGTTCAACATTTCTTTCAAGTCAAGAAAAGCACAAGTGTCTTTGAGCCTGGGACTGTGAAGGATTGATTTCTTAACCTCTTTGATCAAGTCAAATCATTGCAGAAAGCTCTGTGAGCTTCTTATTCCCTTCAAAATTAGTCAAGGTCAACACAGGATAAGCAGTATGAATCAGACGGCAGCAATTAGAGGCCCGCCTCAGAATTCAGGGCTGGATGAGGTTATACATAAACTGTTGAAACAAACTTTACCGAGATGGTGAATCCACTCTGTTGGTTAACACGCATAAAATACAGCGTGCTGACAAATCACAGGGGTGGATATTCTATTACACATCATCAGCTCCATAAAGAGAGTAGCTAAAAGCCCTCAAAACACTCACTTTCCATCAGCTAGGTTGATCCTATTGAAAATTGGGTACATTTCCGGCGTGGGTTTTCCATGCTGATCCTCATAGAGGAAGACAGGGGATTGGCCCACTTCAAGCCCCAGCTGCTGCACCCCTTGGTCATCATAGACTGAAAGCAGGAAGAACTGGGAGCCTTTTTTAGCTCGCATCGTAGCCATAAGGGAAAAGTTTTCAGGAAATTTGGAATCTGTAGGGAGAGGTGAGGAGAGATGCTGTTAAATCGTACAAGAGAAAGCACAGCAGGGAGAAGACATTTTTACAACATGCAGGCACCACCTGCCGTCAGTGAGACCTGAGTTAAGATAATAATAACAAAAAATATTGCCCGTGAAAGCAGCAAGCAGCTATGAGGAGGAGTGGAGGGAGTACAAAGTCAGATATCATAAGGTTTTACTGGGAGCAGAGTCCCTCATAAAAGTGACACATTTTTATGCTTTTTTGGGTACTTCTGGAAATTCTTAAGGTCTTCATTCTGTTGTTGTGAGACTGGATGTTTTGCGATCGAGTAGGAATAAAAAATACCTGGGAAGAGCTGCTTCGTTGGAGCACTGAGCTGAATCTTTTTTTCTATCTTGTAGGCCAGGTCTGTCTCCTCCATGCCCTTCCTGCTCGTGCAGAGACCGGCCTCCAGGGACACCCCCTCCATGTTCTCTGACAGCTCCAACACTCGCAGAACATCAATAGGATCCGCTGAAATCAAAGGAGGAAAAGGTAAAGCATCTGCATATGGCTGTGTTGTTCGTGTTCGTACAAGGTGTAGCTAATTCACTCACTTTTGACATGACGGTGTCGCTGTTACTGCTTTCAGCATTGTTTTAAAAATTATAAAGACCACTGATGATTGGGTGGAGCTTGTGGGCAGATAGACAGACATTTTGCCACTGTTACAGCACTTTGTTGTCTGGCTGGGTTAAGTGCTGGTTGTTACAGAGCTGAAGAGCAGGGTTTAGTGCGGCTGCAAGTCGGTCTTAAAGTGCAAAGGCTTCCTGCTTCCCCGGAGTCGGAAGAGACAGCTCCTCTGAGATGTGGCAGCAGGTGGCCGGGCTGCTGCGGGTGTTATTATAGGATAGGGTTGGTGCACTGCCTAACCTATAATCCTACAGTAGTGCACCTGACAGCTGACACCTGCACACCTCTCACACTGTAACAGTATGTCTGCATCATATTTGGACGTAAAAATACAACAAATTTTCATTGAATGATATGATACTTATGAGTATTTTGTGGAAGTCTTTCAACAATTAAGTTTTTGATCTCATTGTTATAATAAGATTTTCTTCTTGGCCTTATACACACAATATCAAATTATGCGTATTTACTATGAGCTTTGCAACTGTTTCCCCTGCAGATATGAGGTTGGCTCTCTCTCATTACAAAGAGTCTGTGTTTTATTAGCAGTCTGCTGGTCGTGTTATTAGATGTTCTATTGATAAAGCGCTGCCGTGAGCATTAGCCAGGATCAGAGCTTTGTGCACAGCCGGTCTCCCACCAGCTGCTGGAGAGAGCCTGTTCAGAGCAACTCAGCACTTAGCATTCCAGGCATCTGAAATGAGGATCCTAAACTCAAATTACCTCTTGAAGCCGTCGCTGCTCACACAGAGTTCGCCTTTTATCCTCCTTGTTAATTAAACATGTGGACGGAGTTTACTGTTGCCCAGACATTGCTTGCAGAAGCACATAGCTTTACATTTTATGGCATTATTTATTTGCATAGCAGAGGCTGTTTATTCCAAGCAGCTTTGAGAGCTCACCCTCATGGTCCCATAACATGGCAACCGGGGCTGTAAATAGGTTAAGCTGTGAATTACAGCTGAGTCCCAACAATGGAAACATTAGGTACAGATCTAAAGGCATTTAAGACCTTAAGGACATAAATTTTGAGCTCATGCTTTGTCACAAACAAGCTGTGGGAATCAAGTGATTACAGGAACTGAATAAATCTGGATGTAAGATATACAAATGACACACATACTGAGTCACCGAAGATCATTTTCATATCTGTTCCATCATGACATCAGATGGAGAGAGTAAAGAGACTGCTGGCTTTGAATGTTCACAGTCCAATCATCATCACATGTAGGGTGAGGTCTATCTGCAAAATGGGCTAGAATTACTTTAATTTACTTGTTTTTAATGTACTAAGAGGCTCAATTAATCAAGTCTTTCTGTCTGTAGGCTGAGTAAAGTTGCCTCATATATAAAAGATAAAGTGATTATGATAATTAAGTTGTGCAGTTGAGTTTATATTCTCCAACATAATTCACTTTTTGACAATTAAACCAAAATCAGAGCATGCATACGCTAAGTACTTTCTATTCTGAAAGCTAAAAGCTTCATTTTCACACAAGAGAACTTCTTCATTTGTCCTGAAAAGCTTAATTCCCCCCAAAGTTCACTTTGCCCTTTTAAATCATGTCTGGGTCCTAATCCTTAATGTTTGGGTTTAATTGAATTGGAAGGACAGTCTCTGTCTTTGTCTAATCCCATATGAGCTCCTTTAGCTTCAGTGTGGCTTTGTTCAATTCCTGACTGCAAATCAATTTCCTTTAGAACAGCAAAGTTGAAAGTTTGTGTTTTAGTCAAGGGTCAAACACTGTCTCTTTCCTTTTCTGTCTTCCGCTTATTCACTCTTTCTATCTGTCTCACTCTTTTTTATTATCTCTCTCGTGTATCATCATGCACAAGGAGAAAGAGGTCAGAAGGCAGTGATGTTTGGAACAGTCTGAATAATATTCTGAACTGAACAACATGGATCTAATTATACAGGATTCTTGGATTACTGTCAGTTCACCCAGAACAGCACCTGACAAAATTGCCTCAAAACAAATGAACAAAATTAACTGTCAAGCAAAAATGTGCAATTTCAGGCAATCCTAAAATGCTATAGCAATGCACCACAGAATCCTCAGAGGACTGAATTCTGCCTCAACCACCATGTCTTTTGAAAACAACCATTGCTCAACCCTAAACATGCTCCAGCTATGCGTTTGACAGGAGAGAGTTGACCTATGACACTCCAAAGACAACAGAGAACAGTCAAAATGTGCAACAATGCCAGAGGGAGAAATTTAAGTAGGGTCCAAAATTCCTCTTCAAGGGAAAACAATTCACAACAAACTGCCAGTTAAACATTTTAAAGAAAATCAGGCATCCCACACCCACGTGAGCAACATAAACTGTGAAGAGATAAGCTTGGCAAGACGAATCAGAGGACGTGGGAAAAAATGCATTTGGACTGAAGAGGATGAAACCCCTGATAGCTGTTGCAAAAACATCAGACACCAGTTCGATGCAGGAATGACCCACATTAAATACAAGCAAGTTTCTGCAAAGTACACTGTATTTCATCATGTCGATACCACAACTCTTGATTCTGGCATCACGAGGAAAACCCCGGGCAAGTGGCAGTCAGCCATTAAAGTTTGGATTCAGGCAGAAATCAATAAAAGAAAGTTATCTATTCCCTTCTCTGGAAGCCTCAAAGTTTGGCCATTTCTTGCAGCCTCTATTCCTTTCCTGCAGCACTGACTGTAGGACTGTCTGAGCAGGCTCTGCTTGCATCTCATTAAGCTCCAGCGTAATCTGACCTTATCTTCTATGTCGAATAATGTTACTTGTAGAGACAGATAGTGAGAGCCAATGAGCATTTAGCAGATAAACATCTTCAAGAACAGCTACTGAAGAGCAGAATTCACAAGCTACAACCTGGTTATTATTCTAAGAGTGTGTGCAGCAGGCTGTACCTAAAAATTTAAAGATGTGGCTCAATGTGTTTCAAATAGTGTTTTAACTCTCTAAGGACAGATGACTCATGGTGTTTCCCATTCAAAGCAAAAGGAGAAGGAGTTAGACAGATATAGAGCAAACTCCTACTGTATAGTATGTGATTACTTTAGTACCAAACAACAAAAGCAAACAGATCCTGCATGAAGACATTTTATCGTCTTTTTTAGGGCCACACTGAAAAAGCAGTATCTGCCCAGAAACAGTGCTCAGACTGAGCAAAAAATCTGGGCACTCCCCTCTAGAAATGGCACCAAACACTACATCTGTTTATCTTCTCTGCCCATGTGACACTTGACACAGTCTCTCCATCATGCCTTGTGGTCAAACAGCTCAGTCATACATGGACATAATATATTCTCTGTGTTACTAGAGCAAATGTCTCTGAAGACATTCTGTATGACTCACACCACCTACACTCCCAGCTCAGCCTGAAAGTACCCCTCACACACACATACACACACTCACAATGCTGGACTGTCAGAAACTATTGCATCTGGGAACTGGGGAATTTTTACAAGAAATAATGCCAAAATGAATCTGGGCAATAAGAATTTCCCATAGTGTCTAAGACCACACCCTGAGATGAGTCCAAAAAAAGCACTGGCTTATAAACCTTGAGTTTATGTTTGGAAGCATCTCATGATCACTGCAACAGTAAAACATGATTATACACTTAACATACCCTCATTAAACAGATACATAAGGATTGTATTATGTGTTTTAGAGTCTATTCTCTTCTCTATTATGGAGAGTTATAAAACACAAATTGAGGAACCAGTCATACATCAAGTGGAAATATTGTAATAAATCCAGACACAGTTTCTCCTAAGGCTGGGTGATGAACCAAAAATTTACAGATACCAAAATTTACCACAATAACCAACGTCATTTTGCCCATATCAGTATATTCAGTGTAAAAAAAAAAGAAAAGATAAATAAAAAGTTGATTTTGGATGTGTGTAGGTGGGCTATGGTTTCATGTCCCTTTAAGATGCTGTCCTACATCAGAGATGTGACTCCACCCCATTCAGTCCGTGACAAAGAGGGAAAGACAGATGAGGAGATGGAGGACGGCTGAAGTAGACGAAGTTAATGTTGGAGGGGGTGAGCAGCTTGTGGAGTAATTATGTTCCATTTATCGTTATTGAGGTGAACTGCTCAATTTGAGGCCATATCGCCCAGCCCTAGTTTCTCCCAGTCTTCAGTAAGAATCATCTTAATCTAATTAGCAGTGGGTGAGGCTTCTCGTCTGGGTCACTGCTATTTGTTGACAAGAACACTATGTGGCGATTCGCACTCCGAACATTTCAACACGATCGGCCAACAAGACTGAAACACTGACTGATCAGTAGGAGTGAAACAGCATCCTGGACCTCTACCCTCTTCAAAATGTCTCTCTGAATCACCGTGTTGTTAATCTGTCAAACACTTCACTCTGTTACATGAAAACAGATGTTAATATAAAAGAGAGAGGAGTGTGTTTGAGAGGCTGAGGTACTTCTATTGTAACACGGAGACAAAGGCGTTTGTTGGGATGAAAGAGTACAAGCTGAGAGACAGATATTTATCTACTCGAATTTGCTTTGTGGTTTGGTCTGCTTTTGGTTATCGCTCAGAGTTTAGGAGCAGGCCAAATCAGCCGTTTTGTTGACAACCCCTGAGAATGCTTTCAAACCTACTTTTGGGGGGTTATTATAGGTTACTAAGTTATGAAAATTATGATGGGATAAAAAAGTGATGTTGAAAGCTCCCAACAGGGTTTTTACATAAACTCTACAAATCATGTTCAGTATGTAATACCAAAATATTTATCATACCATAATTTGAATATTTATGGGATGATACCGGATGCCCTGGGTAGGCATGAGAGGATACAGAAAAAGCAGAGACTTAGGGTCTCTGTGGCTGTGAGGATTTAACAGCGCTGGCAAGAGGAATGATCAGGATGAGGGGGGACTGGGGCTGACCAGACCAGCAACAGAAAATGGTCTGGATGTCACAGTACGATATTGATATCGGTCCGACATCAGCAAAAAAAAAAAAGAATATCGGATTATATTGGCCTGCATCTTAAATCTCCGATATCAGCACTCCAACACAAGCAGTCCATTTCAGATTCCGCTCCAGCACCTCTATCGAGTAGCGCCTTGATCGAGCATACAGACTAACAAAGTAGTAAGGAGTAGGACTGATGTCGGCTGTGTGGCAGTATTTTTCGTTTAATTCCGAAAAACACGTTGCAGCTGAGTGCAAAACTTGTCATGCACAAGTTCGAGCCACTATGGGGTCAATATCGGTATCGGCTGATATTGAAGGCTACAATATCGGTATCATATCGGAAGTAAAAAAGTTGTTTCAGGACACCCCTATTTTTTTACCCCACCCACTGTCATCTGGTCTGACACCTCCCCCCTCACAGTGGATTCAGGCATTAAAGCTTACAACAGAGGAATCATCAGTCTCGTTGCTGACAGTCTCGTTTGCTTTTGAAGTTCATAAAGAGGCGTCGGTATCATTTTCAGTCTGTTTCTGAACCACTTCAAAACTCCTCACAGTGCCTTTCAAGAGACGGCGGGGAATCAGCTGACCATTGCTGTCCTAACTTCAGACATGCATTTAACATAAACCACAGACCTGCGACTTAATGTATTCAAACATTCATTTGTGCAAGTTTTGTGTTCCTCATTTTGCCTCAAAATCCAAATATTTCTGCACCAGAGTTAGACGATCAATATACCAAACACACACACACACAAGGATTGCATTTTAGTGCAATATTAAAATTACAGAGCACGGTTAGTCTGGTGGTTTTATTATGCACCCCATGTAGAAAGACTGCAGTTCTTGTTGCACAGGAAGTAGAATCAATTCACGATCCTGGCATGATTTGGTGCATATCATTCTCTCTCTCTGCCCATATTTCCTGTCTCTCTCAAGACAGTTGTTTTGTCAATAACAGCAAAAGCTGAATGAATAAAAAATGAATGAATTAATGAATATGAATGACTAGAAGTTTATAATTTGAAAACAACAGTGAGACAAATTCGTGGTCCAACTGCTTGGCTGAATGTGGGTCATTGTCTGTTTCCTGTTGTTCGGGGCCAGTTCTCACTGTGTGTGTGTTTTCCTCTCGGTACCAAAGCTGCAAGTTTCTACTGGAATCTGGTCACACATTTCCTTCCAATTCACATCAGAGCCACATTTTTCGATCTCCACAGTTTGTTCTGCTCATGTTTGTTCACAGTGTGATGGGCCAGAAGGCCAAAAGCTGCTTGGCCCGTGGAGAAAACACCTGCCCCTCATGGCCCCTCACAGGGCAGGCCCGCCATAAAAAACAGATTCCTCTATACTTGTGAGGACAATCTCTGACTAGAGTGCATCCACCCACTAACCTCAGTAATTTCCACCATGCCTAAAATTGGCCCTTAACCCAGCTTGACCCAGTTTCTCATAATTACATGACCATCAGGGGGTGGAGGAAGTGTCTGAAATGTCCTGATTTTAGAGGGTCTTTAGTTAAACTGTTATCCATGCCTTTGTTACATCTTGGCTGGATTACTATAACGCACTTTACTTTGGAGTAAAGTGGATCACTCCCATCCTGGCCTCCCTCCACTGGTTACCTGTGCATTTTAGAGTTCATTTTAAGATTCTTTTATTCGTTTTTAAATCTTTAAATGGTCTGACTCCATCTTACCTCTCTGAGCTTCTCCACCCTCACACCCCTGCTCAGTGCCTCAGGTCAGCTGATCAGCTGCTCCTGGAGGTACTGAGGTCCAAACTGAAGCTCAGAGGGGATAGATCTTTTTCTGTTGCGGCCCCAAAATTATGGAACGCGCTACCCCTCCAAATCAGACAAGCCCCCACACTGTCCATTTTTAAAACCCCTCTTAAAACCCATTTTTATTCATTGGCTTTCAACCCTGGATGAGACTCGGCTCCTGTTTTAGTGTTTGATGGTTTGTTTTTAGTTATTTGTTTCTATGTTTTTAAAAACATTGAAACTATATTTTACTTTTTAATATCTGCTTTTATTTTATCCACTGTTTTAATTGCTTTTAAAGTCTGCGCTGTTTTGTCTATTTATGTAAAGCACTTTGGTCGGCTGTGGTTGTTTTAAAGTGCTTTACACATAAAGTTGAGTTGAGTTGAGGTGTGATTTAAACTGCCAAAATATAAACAAGAACAAGAGCACACATTCAATTTCCATGCACTTGCAGAGAATACATGCCTCGGGCTCAAAGGATTACCACAGTATAAACATGCAGGCATACACCTGACCAAGACCATTAAATTTTCATCCCAAGCCGTCACTTAGTCCCTCAGACTTCAAAACGTTAAGGCGTGTGTTATACAGGTACATACACTGGCTCCTTTTGAAGTCACGTCTCTTTGTGCTTCAGAGGGACAGAAATTCTTTACAGGATGTGGGCCTCTGTCGGATCATTCCCCTCTGTGTTAGCGGCTTAGTGCCTATACTAAGTGACACTTGGCAGGTTCAGATAAGTTGAAATATGAGCCAGGTCGCCATGTCGCAGAGGGTGGCAGATTGTTTGTTACAGAGAGAATATTTTGGTTGTAAAGCTTACCCTTGTGACCACTACACAGACGTGAAGGACCATGTCAGGGATGATAAAACTTATCTGAGGCTTATAAACTTGGAGAACGAGGCTGATGAAATGTAACAGGACACTGCAGAGAAGTGCGGCTGCTCATTGCAATTCTGCAGGAGACATCTCCGACCAGTCTCAAAAATGCTTCTTAGAGCATCCAGTGATCAGAAACTCAGAGCCGTGGATGCCCGCGGGGGAAAGAGGCACTGAGTTTCAGGAAGCCAGATGTGAGGGGAATACTATAGATTGCAGTCAGGTGTCATGAATTGTTTAAGCATCACTAATGCATACTAAAGGAAACTGCTCCCCTTATCAAACGTCTGTGATGCTTGCAGCATCAGCAGCTCAGGGACAGACATCAGCATATCGAGAATGTGTAATGTTTAATGTTTCCATTGGAGAAACACAAATTCACATAAGGAGAGAAAAAGCTCGAGCTCTAAAAGGCGTAAAATTCCTCTTTTCATAGTCTGTATCCTGCAAAATTCAGCTGCTTTTTCATTTGTTTTCATTTGCCTGTAATTTGTTGCCAGATCAAAGGGGAACAAGGCTTGCCATCCTCCTTTGGGAGTCGGATGCAGGATTGGCGAAGAGGCTGGATCAAACGGTACCCAGTGAGGGGGCTGTACGGACGATTTCCCCCCCTGTCATAGAACTAGTCGAGCATGAGGCAGGGCATAAGCAAGAGGAAAAAGATGATGTAAATGAAGAGATAAGGCAAACAGAATAAAAAACAAACACTCCCTTTTTCCCGAGCTTTGAACAGGACAGGATGAAAAAAAGAAAAGCTGTACAAAAATGCACCGAGGCAAAAGAACAGAGGATTCTAACTGAAACTAACTGTGGACGTGTGCAAGAATGTCTCACTTCCTGTCAGCAAACATGACTACAAAGTGCTCTCTCATCTCTGTGGAACACACACACAGAAAGCATTTGGGAAAACATTCTTGCACTGTAATACGCACACACACATGCACACAAACTTAGAGGCACAAATACTTTATCTGCCATGTGCAGAAATCCAAGACCTCCATATCAGCACCACCATATGTCACGCACTTTTAAATCATCTCAGCTTCTCACTCACTCCATAGGCCCCTCATTAGAGCAGTGGACACCAAGACCGCTGTGTCACTTGAATGTGAGTGTGTCCTTTGGCTCACTTCCTCCTGCCACCAGCCATTGAATTCCAACAAATCCTGCCAGCAATAAAGTGTTAGCAAGCCTCGCGAAAATGAGGCATCTTTAAGCACTTTTTGGTGACCACAGGGTTAACTCCTGCTGTTGAGGCATGTAGCTCCATCAGGGGGGGAGTCTCTAAACTGCTGCACCTGTAAGGAAATTGTCTGCCAGTTGAGGGTACTCAGGACATAGCCACAGGGCATGAAGCCGGAGTGGGTGACAGACACCAGTGGGTCAAATAATTCGCAGAATATGCTCAAACTGGTTGTTACTGGCTAAGCTGGAGATGAGGAAGTCCTAATACACACAGCTGTTTGACAGAGGCCAGCCCTCTTGCAGGTGGATAACTGAACAATGAGTCTAGTCACTATGCTCCTTCAAGACACATGTGATTAAGTTACAACAGTGTAAAAAAAAAAAAGTGACCCGAGGTGGTCGCCTGCAATAAAAACGTGTAAAATATTAATGTGTGCCAGAATAATCATAATAAGGCAGTAAGAGTGTTAGTGCTAAGCGCCTTCACTTAAGACCTGTGCGGGCAGAGGGCACATTAAACAGATCCATGACAGGAATTTTAATCTACTCAGCTCGGTCAGTGTTCAGCCATTCACCTCTTTCTCAAGCCAACGCTAAACCTCTTCACAGTAAACCGACGCTGGTCACAAGCAAACTCAAACATGACATCATGCATCTCCTGAGCTCGCTCCAAGTCCTCCAGCACACCTGACGCCGTGAGGACACATTTCACATTCAAACCTTAGAAATGTGCTCAGCTGAGTGCAAGCTGGTGCAGGAAAATTTGGAATCAATCTCGGTGGTGTTCCTCGTGTAATGACAGGCATAATATCTGAGTATGCGGTTATAAAAATACCTAATAGCCTACATAAAATTGCACATAATTTGCTCGTTTCTAAATGTCTCTACAACTTTTGAGTCAGTTTGAGCACCTGAAGCGACTCTGGGGGGCAGGTTTCAGCATCCCCAAACTTTTATGCAGATTAAATGACGATACTTTACGCAGATTAAATGACGATACTTTACAAATCAGACTCTGTGGTTAACCTTCAAGAAATATGTTCTAGTAGTTTTTCCAGTGATTTCCAGGTGTCAAATATTGAAATATTGCAAACACTCTAAAACTGAATGAAACTCTGAGGGGTCAGTGCATCATTTGACGCGCAATGACTGAATGGATGCCGACGTTAGTAGCACTTAAACAGGATACTTTACCCGTCTGTGCGGTCGTTACGTGAAGTAGAATGAGAAAAAACAGCGGTGTTCTCCTCCGTGACCTGCTCCTTATCAAATGGTCCATCTTTACCAGCGGAGACCCCCCTCTGCCTCCTCCACCAGAACTTTTCTGCTGCACGAGTTATGTTCGCAGAAACTCAGCAGCCATGCGGGGAGAAAAATGAGAGAAACCACTCTGCTTGTAGTTCCACTTGCTTGATAGTTGGGAGAAGTTTTTGTTGTGGTGTCTCCTCTCTCAGATTCGCTCTGTCCCCTCTCATTCAATTTCTCCCTCTCTCCCTCACTCCCTCCCTCTGTTCTCCTCCTCCTCTGCCTCTTCCCTCCCATAGGACGCTGTCCTGGGCGCCTGCACAACACCATCCATCATAAATTACTTTAACAACGCGCGATAATTTGTAAGGTCTCGTTTCATTGAGAGGTCACCGCGGGACTGATTTACAGCGACATTGTGTTAACCTGCCAGTTTCATGAATTTTGGACATCTAGTAATCTTTTGAGCTGTTAGACAAGAGGCGCATCTAGGTGGAAAAGTCTATGTCCTTCAATATGAAAAATGTCAGGATGATACATGAGGTGACGCCACATTTTCAGATACCTGACTTATCTCTGTATTTCATTGCTGTTGTTTTCATTTCCACTCCCAGCTTCAGCAGACAGTGAGGATCAGATGTTCAGCTGAACCCTTTAATGCCAGAGGGTGAATCCAAGCTTTGAACTTAGGCATAACACTCGATAAATACCCCTCATCATTACAACACCTCTGAACAGTTGATGGAGTAAGGTATTAACAGGTTATCTTGGCCATCAGTCTAATGTCAGCCAAGCATTACTGCGGCGCTTCTGTAGTGCTTGCCTGACCATTATGAGGCTGCAGGCTGAGTCATCTCAGGTCAAAGGTCAATGACTACTAGTTCAGGGGCAGGCACCCAAGGCTAAACCATTATTTAATCAAGTGTGTGCTTTACTTTGCACCTCCAGGTGCAGCGAACTGTGACTACGAAATAAGTTTTCAATGGAACCCTAAAAAGTTTTCAACACGAATGAGCAAAAATTATTGGTTGTGACAAGTCAGCTACCTCTTAATGCTGCTGGGAGAACCCTTTAAAATCATCTGCCAAAACTTCAGCCTGCATAGTTTGATTACCTGTTCTGGCTGAATATAGTCCTGCCAGGAGTCTAATTAATTCAGGGAAGACTGTGGTATTCAGTTGAGGCATGCTCAGAGATTAGACTTGTGAGGACCTTGTCTAATTGAAAATGACCAAAGATAACATTCACAGGGTCCCAGCTATAGCAGGCGTGTGCATAGTCAGTGTGAGGGGGAGAAAATGTTCAGAGAATATAATCCAAACCAACATGTCTTATGGGAGAGGAGTTTCAAACCTCAGGAAGACTGAAAACTCATCCATTTTAATGTGACAAGTCGTGTCCTATGAGTTTGTTCCAAACAAGTCTTCGCAAAACTGACCGGTGCTTGAATAATTCATTATTGACTAATAGATCGAATCTAAAACGTGCAGATTCTTCATTGTGGTGAGAAGTCAAAGAATTAAATTTTAGTTAAAGTAACAATAAAGTTTTGAGTTTGCAAGACTCCCTGGGAATATGAAAGAAAAAGAAAACTTTCTGAGCTTTACAGAAAGTAAACACTGGGAGCCGAGTGGGAAAGTAATTGAAGAAGATATTAAAAACTACAGAAATGACAAAAACATAGGGGTTTGACAGAAGGAGATGAGAGAAATGGACAGATAGTGGCTGATCTGGAAGGTAAACAGCAGAAGCCCTAACCTCCCACCGCTGTACCAGCTTAGCAGGCCTGGGTCAGGGCTGCATTCCTAGCAGCTTTTAGCAGATAGTTACTAAGAGTCCAGTGGGTAGTCTGAGCTCTGGGTGTGAAATATTTCCACAGCACGTGCTGTGTACTTTTGTCCAACTACTCAACCTATACAACATACACATAATTGTTCTTTAATAACCCACAACAGAAAGCCAACATAGGGGAAACATTTGTTTCAGCTACATTAAGTAGATTTTGACTTTTCCATCACATGATAAGCAGCAGCAAAAGTAAGCCAAGCTGATACCTCACACATGTATTCAAATAAAGCAACCCTAATGCACAGGAAAAAGTCCAATGAAAATCTAAAATTGATCGTTTCGACTCAAGCCAATAGTTTTTCAGCTTTCATGAACTCGGAGGGTTGCATAAATCTCACTGATGATGATTTATGTAAGGTTAGGAGATGAGCCATTTCAAGTTAATGTAAACACATAAATACTGCTGAAAAGTCAGCTCATGCAGCGGTCAAGCCGCAGAGACCATCAGCCATCTTTCTGTACACACTGCTAATACAAATCAGGTGAAACAGCAAAGTTTCTAAATGATGCTCCATATGTGCATTGACGTGTATTTATAAATAAATGATAGATGCAGTTTGGCAGGAGATGAATCTATCAAAGACTCTGGAGAAGGAGAAAAAGCTTTGCTGGTGTTTTTTCGTTCATCTCTTTATTTATTCTAGATAAAGTTTCAGTCAGGCATTTTCCTCTTCTCTCCTGTTCTCTAGAATGACATGAATTTATGGCGCTTGCTTGGAAGTTACAGTTTAGACAAAATTTATCTCATCATGTCCTCTGGAGAACATTCTGGGGCTGATAAATCATGGTGAGTGTCTCTTATCATTCTGTCGCTGTCAGGCTGGAAAGTGAAGAGGCGTAATCTGTCAGCATCATGTAAATACTCAGAGACATAGTGAAACCTTAACAATCCTTGAGAGGTGCTGGTTTCGGATCAGAGTCGCCGAAATGGGTTTCAATTGAGTCTACTTCTGGTTTGCTGCTTATGTTGGAGAACTTGCCAGAACAGGACAACACGCAAACTGTCAGCAAAAATATGCATGTGAAGTTGCAGAAGACAGACGAGACTGACTCTTTCAGTTTGTCAAAATTTGATTGATGAATATTTACAGGGGGGGAAACATTTACCCCTTCCTTTCTTCATGATATCATCCCCTCACAAATCATCTTTAACGGGCTGTGGCTTGTGATGTCATTTAGTTGTAGATTATGTGAAAAGTTTTGATCCTTCCTGTTATTACCGTCTAAGACAGATTTAAAGAGCAAGGTTGAAGATTGTGGTTTGTGTGTGAGTGTGTGAGGGGGAAGCTAATCCATTGTCTCTAAATTTCACTATTTATGTCAGGATTCTGAATAAGCCTCAGACAACAGCACTGTTTTTTTTCTGGAGATTTAAAAAAAAGACAACCATCTGTCAGCGATACATGTCAAATAGAAGTAAAGCCGTGTTATCTCAGATCAAGGGTGAAAAAATTAAACTTTAATGTGGTGTGCTGCAAAATGTGGGTTTTGTTACTGAGTTTTGAACGAGAAAAAAAATCTGACATCTCTCTCTTGTTAAAGAGTACAAATATAAAAGAAAAACTCAGGCGCTGAACAAATGCATACATTGCTCGTGGGTGGAATTTGTTGGTTCATCTGTCAGCGGGAAAAGCACCCCTGTCTGTTGAAGCACCTCAAGAGAAATGTGATTGTACCACCCACTGACTCCGGATGATAGCATCTCCATATATCACACAGTGTGTGTTCTTATATAAGAGCTTTCCATAAACCACACCCCATGATAAAAACCCATTTGGCATCAGGTATTCTGGGTTTGAACCCCTGCAGTAAAACGGGAAAGAGTGAGCACATCGGACTGGACTCTTAGCTTCTTCCATCACCACCAATCATACCTTAACCAATCAATGAAGGTTATATTTGAACCGTGCAGAAGGAGTAAGATTATCATCACACTCGTCGCTGAGGGGAGTTTGGATGTAGGGCTGTGATTTCAGACATATTACTCCACACAGGCAGTTGCTAAACTCTGCTGTAATGGTGATGCCACACCAGGGATGTGACCACAGGAAATGTGGAAATTTCCCCCTTTGCACTAGGCCAGTGAGAGGATCTGCCAGTCTGGTGATAATTATAATACTTATAAATAACAGCAGACTAAGCTAATTAACATCTAAGGACCATGTCTGTTCATTTAACTGCTCAAACAAATAGACTAAATAAACCCAGCCAGGAATCACACTGGAGCTTGCCCAGCTCTGAACCCCTCCTCTTCCCTGTTAGTTTACAGCACAAAAAAGCACCATGATTGCATTTTCGTCTTTAAATAGCAGTGCAATGAGGTTGAAAACTGGTATTTTTATTGGCCTGTTAGGGAAAATCTAAACACTAACAACAAATATGCCTCATACAAGCATTCCTTCACCCTTCCTGTGTGTTGAATTCTGATTCTGCAGGTTCCCATAACACCATTTTTTGTGTTTTTTTATGAGCATGGGATGAAACTTAGAGCTTGATGATTTCCTGATGTTTCTACAAGTACAAATTGTACAAAAAGTATTAGATATTGTCGCTCCAATTTGCAATCCACTGCATGACTAATGCTTTTCAACAGCTATGTGACTGAGAGTGTATGAATGATGTTGTACCATGATGAGCTCTATGAATGTTTCAATGACTGTCATTCACATATGATCTTCAGCTCCCACAGCACTGTGCACTGTTCGTTGTGTGTGGTCCGCAGCTGCAGCTACAGTTTTAACTCATGCCTCTCTTGGTACCCTCTTTTAGTGCCTTCCTTCAATTAACGCTGTTCTCAGTCTGTCACAGAACCCCTAAAACACTTTCCCAGCTCACTTCTTTCTGAGTCTTTGCGCCCATTCTTTTTTTCTGTTTTTGAGTCTCTCTCCCGCCCACCGACCCCCAGCTACTCTTTCCCTTCATCCCTTTTATTCTCATGAAGTTTGCATTCCACACCTCCTCTGCAGACTACACACAAAAGAGCAGAAAGCGCCACTCCTGACCTGTGGCAAACATTCCAGTCCTCTAGGCCTTTTCACACAGCCAGAATCTTCTGTTTCCAGCAGCATCTGACAGAGACTCTATAATCCGAGGCGTTAAGATGCCCCCAAAATAAAGGGCAGTCAGTCTAACGCACCCACTGTATGATAAGAAATATTAAGAAAAACTTGTTGAAATGGCTTTTCGTGCATTTTGACAACCAGAACATCTTCTCTATTGTATCACACAGTCTACTTTTAAGGACAGACATTGCCAAATAAAGTTTTTGGATGATTCATGTCAGTACAAAGAAAAATTAATTATTATACTACAGAAATAGGTTTAGAAGTGTTGGAAGTGTCGTTGTCATTGAGTTAGACTTCAATAAAGGCTCCATAGATGGTTTTGTCCCCGGGCGCTGAAGACAGATACTCAGAAATGCCAAAGAGAACAAGTGAAAGCTTTCAGAAAGACTGGTGTCAAACTGATTGTTACTGTAGGTGCAGCAGAATGAGTTAAAGTCAGGTGAAAGGGGTAGGGGGTTTAAAACAACACTTAAACAGCAGAGAAAGCACGTGGCATGGTGGAGCGTGTAGGGACATGTATTCCCCTCCTCTTTGTCACTTTACTCACTCCTCCTGCGTCTAAGTGCCTCAATCTTCTGAAATTCCATAGCAATAGCTCCGAGGCTGGTAGACATCGCTGGCCGCCCACTGCCCCTCCTCATCTCCACCCACACCTGTCCACTTTCTCCGCAGGCACGAGAGAAAGCTTGTCAGAAGCAGCCCTGACCTTCTATGCTGACTTACATGAGCATCCTTTGTTCTTTTTTTTCCCCCCTGGACTGGCCATCGAACAGTTTTCCTTTCGATCTACAATTAGTTTGGTCAATGAAATCTTGGTCACATAATCCTTACAGATGTGTAACAGCATTTCTGTTTTAAGACTGAGCCAAAATCACACCAGGATATGTAATAAGTAAGTCTCTTTATTTTAGAGATATTTCCAGCTCTAAGGTTTGTTGTTATATTGTGTTCACTTACACTGACTTCACCTCTCTCCTCTGGAATCATTTTCCAGTTGAGGTGAGGGGCGCAGACACCCGCTCTGTCTTTGAGAGTTGGCTCAAGACGTTTCTCTGTGATAAAGCTTATAGCTAGAGCTGATTCAGACTTGGGCCAGCTCTTAGGTATGCTGCTATAGCTTAAGACTGCCAGGGGTGCTGGCACATTGAGCACCTTTCTCTCCTTCTCTATCCTATTTCTGTCTGTGTCATTAACTTTGAATCATCGTGTCCCATTAGAGTCACTAATACACCATCTTTTTTGGGAGTCCCTGCGCTTCATCATGTCATGGATTCCTCTGGATCGCTGCTGCAGACATTTTGCTGCTGTGAACCTGCATGCTTTCCGGCTGCTTCAACTTCATTTATCACCTTTGTCCATTTCTCTTTCTGCATCTCCCTCTATCCTCTCTTGCAGTAGCAGCAGCAGCAGATAATTGTCTTACATGAGTCTGGTTCTGCTTGAGGTTTCTGCCTGTGAAAAGTGAGATTTTCCTTGCTCCTGTAACTTGTGTAATGCCTCAAAGTGTTACACTCATGTGGTTGAAGATGGGGTGGGAGTAGATCTGATCTTACTAGATAGGGTCCAATCTTGACCTATCTTTACATCGGGTCCTTGAAAATAGAGTATAGACCAGCTTTGTTATAAATTGGTGTTATATGAGTAAAGATTTATTTATTTATGAGCTATTTATTTTCTTTACTTTTACACTCACGTTGGTGGTCTGGGACAAAGGCCCACGGTCCTCGTCACACTCTACCTACTCCTGACCATGACATTTGCTTTGATTACTCCTTAACATCCTCTTATATATATATTTTTGTACTGCTGATGATCTGCAACAAAAATACATAAAAGTAACAAGCATTTATGTATTTTTGTTCACATAAATGCATTCAGTGAAAGTGTCGATCCAGCATTCTCTTTCTGCATTTTCTCATAGTACAAAATATAATTATACTACACGCTCTTGTTGTAAACTTCTGCTTTCCAGCGAGAAAATGATTCACAGCTTAGGGATGTTTCTAAATAAGCAGACATCAGCTTTGTGAAATGGCAGGAGGAAATTAGGCCTGAACTCTAAGCTGACAGTCTGCTCTCTGTTGTCAGCATAATAGACAGTTTATCACCAGCAGTGATGATTAGAAGCCTGTGAAAGAATATTTTTTCATTATGTATCCTCATATTATGCATCTCATACTGACTGTTCTCACTCCAGAGCTGAACTTGTCACACCATCAGCCTGCAGGTTACAGGTTGACCTTTTGGGATCAGGCAAGGACTTCACTCATTGTTGAATTTTGCCTCCTCCCCTCAGGGGAAATGTCAGAGTTATGATGAATATGAACAGATGCACTTGATGATAGAGCTGTCTATAGTAACCTCAGTTCACCACCAGAGAAGTGAACAGACAAGAAAATGTTCCCTCTGCTGGTCTGTGTGTGTTTGTGGGTGTCCTCCTACCTAATCTCCTCGTCTTATCCCTTTTGCTCCCTTTATGCTTCACACTGTGTTAACATATTGAAAGGGAATGTGAATATTGAATTTGACAAGCGGCTTGCAATAATTTTAAATGAAAAAACAAAACAAAACATGAAAAACCTGCACATTTTAGTTCCAGAGTATGGATACATAATCGCATTTCAAAAACCGCAGATAAGACATAAAAAGGTATGTTTTTTTGTCTCTTAAACTATTTTTAACACTTAAATATTCACTAATTTTGGCTCGAGGATCAGCATAAAAGTATAAACATTTATAATCATCTGTCAGACCTTCTACAGCTTGCATGCAGTTGCATCACATTTACAGGCCCAAACAGGGAAGACTCTGAGGATTGCACTATGGCCTGTTATCAGAGCAAAAGACGCAGATCTATTTTGAGTTCTTATCAGTGGAACTTTGACCTCTTACATATCTGTCAACAACCGGGCCTACTCATCACCATAACAGTCACCATCATGACGGCATCACTGAAAAATGTCTGTCAACATAAAGAAATCTAAAACTGCACCTCCTTATTTAAAATAACATTTTTGGGACACAGTGAAGTGATTACTTCTGCAATTTTGATGAGGTAGCAAACAAAAAGCAGGCCTGACTGTTTCTTAGTGCTCTTACCAGCAGATGGCAGTGCAACACAGAGCAATAAGTGACCATACGCATAAACTTCCAAAATAAAGGATTAACTGAAAAAAGGTGTTGCTTTATTTTCCTGGAAACAACTTGGATTAAATCTTGGCTTAAATTCATAATAATAATAATAACAATGATAATTCTACTAATAATAATAAAAATAAAAATTCTGCTACTAATAATAGTAATAAAATAATAATTGTGATTAAAAATAATAATAATAATAATAGTAATAATAATAATAATAAAAACAACAACAACAACAACAAAAAGCAACACTAATAATAATAATAATAATGTGTCTAAATGGTTCAAGGGTCACCAAAAAATAAAAATCACAACTGATTTTCATTCAAAGTAACATAAAAACGAATCTTCTCAATATAAGAAACGTTATTTAAATGAAATAAACTGTAAACAAAACACTTTTTGCACTTTAGAAACTATACGACATTTAAAATAAAAGTAATAATAAAGAATATACATTTAAAAAAATATCAAACCTGATGTAATATCAGTGATCAACTCGTTATAATGTTATTAAAGATACTGCTTTGATTTATTATAGTTATTTGTTATATGTCAGAGACACCAACCCAGAAATCTTGTAAGCACTGCCCCCTCTGCATCATGCACGTGCGCGCATGCACGGCCACACACATTTTAAAGTAATTAAGTTCGTTTTCAGGGCAGGCGGTGCCCGTGAAGTTGATAATCTTGTCAGCAAGGGATGTTTGTATGCTACGTCCCTTTTTTTTTTTTTCGGTTGCTGATTTGATCGAACATGTGACTGTATTAGACGCTCACATGGCTGCGGTGGCTGCATGATCCGCTTTACTTCTTTAAAGTCCGGTGATCGGTAGCTCCCCTCGGCAGCGACCATCCGGAGCTGAGGACCGCTGAAAAACACAGCGCGTACCCGGACAAATCATGGCGAACAGCGGGCAGAAGGTTGTGCTGATCACCGGCTGCTCCTCCGGCATCGGGTTACGAATCGCCGTCACGCTGGCCAAAGATGAAAAGAAGCGTTACCATGGTAAATGCGCTTTCCTCTACATTCTTTTCTTAATCGGGACCTATTTGTAGCAAGCCTGTAATGTTGAGGGTCGCTTGAGAACCGATTCCGTGTTTACTTTTCGCTGCAGAGCTGTGCTGTTGCATGCAGACACTTTTACGCAGAAAGTTCGGTTGAGATTCATGCGCAGCTCTTTCTTAGCGACTTAGTGTAGAGTCCGCTGAAACTGCTAACCCCTGTAATATCGGATCCATATCCTTTTGTAAGGATTGGGATTCAGTCTCCCCTTTGGTTCAACTATTATCATTTGAAAGCGCAGTTTCCAGGGTAGGGCTCTGCGAGGATGCCGCTTGCCAGGCGGAATCATAAAAGGAGTCTTGTCAGTTCTCTTTCAAGTGACTTCTCCCACACAAAGACCCCTTTTATCGCTGTGAATTGTAGACCGCCTGCTCCGGTTTAGTGCCGTGTCTAATGTGCCTATAGTCCCCTCACTGGGGCGAGTGTTGAAAGGGGGACAAAGTTTGAGACCTGTACAAGCGAGGGTTCAATCTGAAGCAAGGGCCTTGTTTGAAGTCTTCATTGGTGCACAGTAGAGTTAGGGTGTCCCTCTCTGACATTGTTGCTCTGTGCGTCTTCTCCCCTGCTTCCCAGCCATCATTAATGTCATTGTAGGGATTGGACATCCAAAGGATGACATGGAGCCTCAGACAGAATTACATTAGACCATCTTCCCACCCCCACCCCTGCTAGTAAGAGTCTTGTCTTCAAGACCCCCCCTTGTATGAGGCTTAATGCAGAATTACATAATTGGTTTCAGGCCTACAGTCAGTAAGTTGACAATGTTACCCATGACTGCATTATCTTATAGGTCTCTGGCTGAACAAGTTTTAACCAGGTTACAATAGACTAATAATAATAACTTAATTTGTAATATGACCTCTAAAACCAGATCAGATATAGCAGAATAAATAACAGCCATAGTTATCCAAACATTCCTGTTGTTCTTAAAGGACTTTAAAAACCACTGCCAGGGTTTTTACAATGTTTTGTTAGCTAACAAAGAACGATAACACTCAGGTCTCTGGCTGAATGAGTTTTAACCATGTTATGATAGGCTGATAATAATAATGACTTTATTCATAATATTACCTTTAAAACCAGATCAGATATAGTAGAATAAATAACAGCTATAGTTGTCCAAACATTCCTGTTGTTCTTAAAGGACTTATGAAACCACTGCCAGGGTTTTTACAATGTTTTGTTAGCTAACTAAGAAAGATAACACTCGTTTGATAACCCTATCTTTGTGGGTCACCTGATTCTGATGGGATTTACGAACATCAAGTAGAGGAATTGAAAAAAAAAACAATTGACTGCTTTCTTAACAGTGGTTTGTGCTTTTTTTCAGCATTGAGACACTTAGTCAATAAAGCCACTTAGCAATTAAGTTGATCTGTTCTTTTCCATAAATCTTTAGGAAATCCAGCCGAGATTAAACATTGCATCGAGCATAGAGGAATAATCAGCTGCAGCAACATGTGCTTAACTCAGAGAGAACACTCCCCCTCTAAAAAGAGACCCCCGTTCTTTAATGTGATTCATTCAAGAATGTTTAAGCGGCCCAAGAGTTATTCCTGCAGGAGCCAGAGGAACAATGGATCTCTTGTTCACTTCTCCACGAATGCATAAATCTCTCTTTTGCTTTGTGGACACACAGATCTTTAATCAGAAGATTAGGCTTAATTACACTCCTTGAGACATCACTGTTGCAGTTTGCTGATTTCTCCTTTCAAAGACAAGCTGCAAGGTGGGAAAAAAAGCATTTTTCAAAGGGAAGGAGGCAAACTTCAAAAACAGGAAATGTTAGATGGTAAACACTGTGTGGTTTTTGCCCCCTTATCTGCCAAGGACAGCAGGTAGATTCAAATGTATGTGTGAACAAAGGGTTGTTTACTCTAAATGATTGCCATTGTGCAACAGCACTGTCTTCCTTTACTCTGCTAGATAACGTCAGTCAGAGAAGTGTTAGCACATCACATACCACGGAAGAGGCCACAGAAGCCAGAGTGAACACTGTGCTGATAGCTGCTGTCACTGGCCATGATAGATTCCTGAGCTGTATGTAGGTTAATGTTGTCCAGTGTTTAAAGTTCACAGGAAATCAATTCTGTGTCCCGTAAACTGACAGGCGTGGTCACTGCTAAGAACTTTGACCCTCATGTCTAGCTCTGTAACAGCTCTGAGTGTGTGCATGTGCAGTTTTTTTTGTTTATGTGTGTTTGCAGGAGTTGGTGTTCCCACAGGTCATTGGTTCCACTCTCCTGTGTTACTTCATCAGTGTTTTTCCTCTGAACTACCATGCAGAAATGATAATAATTTCACAGCCAAACTTCACTATTTATTGTTGAATGAAGACAAGTGAAGTTGAAGAATTAATTATTAAAAATACTGATGATTTGGATCTCTCCATGAACTCATTTACTTATTTTTGAAGTAATGCAGTCATATTGTCCGAACAAACTGGTGAAAAAGGCTGGCTCTGTGGTTGGACTCAAGTTGGACTCAGTGGAGGATGTGGTGGAGAGTTCTACACTGAGGAGGTGGAGACTATCCCAAAGAACATGGATCACCCACTTCACAACACCTTGATGGACCAAAGGGCCAATGGTGGTGAACGGCTCCTCTCTCTTTGCTGCAGGACAGAAAGATTCAGAAGATCTTTTGTACCAACAGCCATCAGACTTTATAACTCTTGTGTAAATAGTAGATAACTTCTAAAGACATATCAAGTGAGACAACAGGCAATTGAATTTCCCTTCAGGGATTAATAAAGTTCTTCTTATTCTTATTCTTCTTGTGAAGTTCTTATCTTTCTCTTTGTGCCTCTTCCTTTCAGTCATCGCCACCATGAGGGACCTGAAGAAGAAGGACAAGCTTGTTGAAGCAGCAGGCGACACATATGGCAAAACCTTGGTGTTGCTCCCGCTAGATGTGTGCAGCGACGAGTCTGTCAAACAGTGCATCAACAATGTGAAGGACCGCCATATTGATATCCTGAGTGAGTGACGCTCACCTGAAACAAAGCCACCATCTGATCCTTTTCAGTGATTTGGCTTCTTTCAACCCCTCTTTGGATTGAAATATGAGCTTGAATTTTGTTTTATTTCTATTGACATTTATCCAGAAGTTGCCCATACAACCTTTAGTTTTTGATTGTAAACTGTATGACCTAATTCAGTCTCTCAGTTTCATGTGGGAACACTGAACCAAATGCTTACAACACCCTTATCTTTCCACTGAACTAGATTAAGATCAACATAAACATTAATGGCATACTCTCTCCTATTTCTTGTAATCTAATCATTTTAAACAGGAAAGCCTCACTGAGATTTAAAAGAAAAACCTTGTACACGAGTGTCCTAGCCAAGACAGCAGCAGGATCTTTAACAAAGTTACAGACATACAGTTACATAATGAATATAAGTCATCATTTAAAGGATCTATAGCCTGATGCACATTCCTCTAACACCGTCAATCTGCTTTTAAAAACATGTATAGAGACCAACTCCCTCAGAGCCAAGTTCTCTTAAAGGGGATTTCAAGCTGCATGAGCAGTTCATCTATAACTTTTTTTGACCCATTTCACGGTGCACGTTAGGGACAGAGAGCAAGACTAAGTCATGTGACTGAGTCAAAGAGCGAAGACTGTAGCCTCCAGCATTTTTCAAGGTAATGTGATTACGTAAATGAGGAAGTACAGTAAATATCCTACAGGAATTCTCACCACAGTGCTGTTACTCAAGTTCTAAACAAAATTTAAGTACAGGGTCTGAAAGAATAAAAAGTGTTCCGACTCTTAGAGTGCTTTCCTCTCTGGTTTTGGGGTTAAAATCCAGAGTTAGTGGCCACAGGAGATTTAAAGAGTTTTGAAACTCAAGATGACGAATAGTTTCTATTTTTCCTTTTATGTGAGATCTTTCTTCCCGTACTTCTCATTTCTTGTTCTTAACTTTTCTTTCAATCACTCACTCTGAAGACCATTAATTAAATCACCTTTTACATGTGACAGGGTTAAAGAGTTTGTTGGATTAATATCTTAAGAAAAGGTAATTCTTCTCAGTTCTTGCATTAAAACCCTCAATCTGGATAAAAGTTCTATATTTAAACCTGCCTCCATTTTACTCTAAATCCAACTCACATCCCCCCTCACCTAATTACTCAAGACTGAGAGGCCCTTCAACATGGACTAGTGTTACATCACACGTCTGTGTTGTTGTCGCACACTGACATCTGGTGGTAACTTCAAGTTTCACCGTCTTGAAAGAGAAACATATTTTACTAAAATCAAGTGCACATTGAGCAGAAGTTATTTCATATGTGAAGAACCAGTTTGTTGAACTTGTTATGAAATCCAAGTGTTTTGAGTTCGTACAGTTTGTTATCCGTATCTTTGTGTTTTCAGTCAACAACGCAGGTGTGGGTCTGCTGGGTCCGGTGGAAAGCATCAGTATCGAGGAGATGAAAAGAGTGTTTGAGACCAACTTCTTTGGTGTCGTCCGCATGATCAAAGAAGTGATGCCAGACATGAAGAAGAGGCGTTCAGGACACATTGTGGTCATGAGCAGTGTCATGGGCCTTCAAGGTATGATTTTGACTCTAAATTATCATAACAGTGTGAAATTAACATCCAGTTGAGTCTTCCCCAAACACTGAAAAAAGCTGTGTAGCAAAATATGATAAAACTATTCATTTTGTGTCCTGCTTCTTTAGGAGTGGTGTTCAATGATGTGTACACTGCATCTAAGTTTGCCATGGAAGGTTTCTGTGAGAGTATGGCTGTGCAACTGATGAAGTTCAATATCCGGTAGATTACCCTCTTTGCTTTGTTCCTCCTTCACATCTGTCTTTGCTTTAAATGTGAATGCTCACTCAACATGACTCTCTCTGCATGTGACTGCCTTCAGGTTGTCAATGATCGAGCCCGGCCCTGTGCACACTGAGTTTGAGACAAAGATGATGGAGGATGTGGCTAAAATGGAGTATCCGGGGGCTGATGCTGACACAGTTCGTTACTTTAAAGATGTTTACCTGCCATCATCCATAGACATATTTGAGGCCATGGGCCAGACACCAGAGGACATAGCCAAAGTAGGGGAACTAAGTTTCTAACTCACATTTTGGTGAATGAAATATGATACAATCATTCAACTAATGTACAAGACCCAAATAATTCACAACTTTCTGCTCTTTCTTATCTCTCCAGTGCACTAAAAAGGTTATTGAGTCAAGCAGTCCTCGCTTCAGGAATCTGACCAACAACCTCTACACACCCATTGTGGCCTTAAAGTATGCAGATGAGACTGGAGGCCTGTCTGTCAACACTTTCTACAACTTACTCTTCAATTTTGGCCCTCTTATGCACATCACAATGAGCATCCTCAAGTGCCTGACATGCAGCTGCCTGCGTAGACGCACCATCTCACCTAACTGAAGACAGTGTCCTATACTTCCTTATATCCTCACCCTCTCAGTTTGTTAACCTCACCCATACCCTACTGAGGTTATCGGCTCAGCAGGTAGAGTAGACCCAGATACCTTGGGGGAGAGAGGGAGCTATTTAGTTCAAAGACAGTGCCAGGATAAGCTTTGCCAGAAAACATGCACAATTGCACAGTTTTTTTTTTTCATGGGGGTGGATGCAGAATGCACACATACACATAAAACAGAAATAAAAACAATATGCACAATGGATTATTGTACATGCATATTGTGAAGCAATATCCATGACTTAGTCCTTACTTTATGAAAGGAAATAAATGTAATATAGGTCGGTAGGTGTGTATTTTGTTTTAATAAAACACACACATGGGTTATGATAATCTGCCCTACGTACAGACATCAAAAGCACAAAATGAACTCGGTTACAGTGAGAAACAGGAAAATGATACAGAAGTGTAGCCTGGATAACTTTACACTTTGGCTCCTAAAAAGTTTGAGACAAATGAAAGAGTCAGAGTGAATATATCTGCCTTAATTCTGTTGTACCTTTATTTTCATGTTTGCCTTAACATAGTGTTCTCATGGTCATAGCTGCTGTTGAATCATATTTTTAATCTTTTGATAAATTGAATGTTTTTGGTTTTAAAGGTTTTGTGAAGGGTTTGGTCGGACATTTTAAAAATAGAATCTTGATTTAGAAATAAACACAACTCTGATCTATCCTCCAACGTATGCTTTTATTTTCTAAGGATGACCACTAAAAAAAATTTGATCATGCAGGGAAATGGTTCACTTGTTTTTTAAGGTCCTGCTTTTTGTCTGCAAGAGCGCCTTTGCACCAAGAGGGGGCAGTATTTCACAGTTTTTCCCAGGCAGGCAACCTGTGGCTGTCCAGGGAGCAGAGATGAAGCTGAAGTGTAAAGGAATTTGTTTCCAGTGGCTTGAGTTTGACAAATATTATGTAATTAAAAGTCAAAGTTTTAGACAATAACCGCAGAGTGTTGCAGATATGAAACACTGTTTTCTCCTGCAAATTTTCCTCATTCATGTGATGTTAAAAATGTAACATGTTTCAGTAATTCAGTCCCAGCATCAGTCCATACTCAGAACTTTAATTATAAATCATAAAAATAAAAAATCTCTGATTATAATGTTACAGATGATTCACATATAACAGCGGCATTATAGCTAACAGTGATTCAGAACCATGTGGGTTGTATGTATGAGTGTAACATCGAGTTGTTTGGCAGATGCGCAGGAGTGAGACTGCAAATCTGTGCTCATACACACACAATGACACAAGTTTGTATGCACGGGTGTATGCGTGCGTTTGTGTGTGTGTGTGTGAATGTCTTGCATGAACATGTCTATGGGCCAAGTTAGTGATCTGTTGATGGATATAAAGAGGTCATGGCCTGCTCCCCATCAAAACCCCTCCCTTGAACCCCCACCCCTCCTGCACACACACCCTGCTTTGTGCCGTGTGAGAGAATGTGACCTGGTTCCCATCCCTGAGGAGGGGTGAACCCTAATGACGGCCTCCTCAGACACACTGCGCAGCTCAGAGCCACCCTCTCCAGCTGGCCCCCTCAGCCCATCGGGCCGGGACCCCCTGGTCCACACTGGGAGAGGCCTGCAGTCTGGCCTTGCAAGCTCAGCCAGAGTTTGTATGGTCTGCACACACCCTGTCCCACCCTTCCTGGCATGCCCACAGTGTCCAGGCTGCTCACAGTCACTCTGTCTGACTGCATGGGGGCTCATAATCAGAGGACAGTGCAACTGGTTGCAAACCTGTAGTTTCTGTGCAGTGTACAATGAGTGCAGTGCCTCAGCTCTGTATTTGTGTCTTCATCAGAGGCGACAGCTCAGCACAATGGAACAAAGACGCTGTCAATCACAATCAAATGGGTGTGTATAAGGGGGGGATTGGAGGGGAAGAGGTTCGGGGATCGGAGAAGGTTGGGGGAGGAGTCTGTTTGTCCTGAATGTTCAGGGGGGGTACCAAGACCCAATGTGGGACGCTGAAGGCTAAGGGCAAGGGGTGGGGGGGATACTTTGGGGCACTGAGGGGTAGGGGGTGTGTTGCTTTTGGGAAAATGAGAATTGGGGTGCCCAGACCTGAATGGGGGACCTGTTTACTAATTGAATGGACACAGGAGTTACAGAAAAGTCTCATTAAACAAGAGGTCTTATCAAACCATTGTTGTGTACCTTTGTTTCACAATCAAGAACATAATTGCAGTATAATGAGGGCAGCGTGATGTGGTAAGGGCTTCCCTTAATTGTAGCCCTGTCACAATTACTGAGCCACTAAACATGCTTAGGCTCTGTCTACATGCACCCTCGCTGTGTTCAGACAAACAAGGTTGCATTTTTAAACAGTGTTTGAGGGGAGAGAAGAAAAAAGAGAAGCTCTTTCGGCATGTTAGAATGATACATTGTTTGCCTCCTCTTTTGCTGGTTCAGCCACTTTCTTCATCCTCCTTTCACTGTCATCAACAGCGGGGAAGCATACCTCAGCCTGACTCAGACAGGGATGAGGTAGGGCAGAGGTACAAAACAAAGAAGCTGGGGAGGTCAGACGATCGTAATATCTGTTGTGAAAGTGAGATGATGAAAAAAAAAAAAAAAGAGAAGTGTGAAAGACCAAAATGAGGCAAAAGAAAGAGGGAGAGGTATGGCTGCTGTGGGATGTTGATGTCTAGACAGGGTGCTTCAGTCTGATCCCAGGTCAGGTTGGATCACAAACAGACTCCACTTGTCTCTCTCTGTTATTACTTCTTTTGCGATCAAGTATCCATTGCTGAATAATTCTGAATAGTGTCGCAAAATTATAAACAGAGGAACCATAAGGCTCCATCCGTGGACCAGGAGTCTATTCAAGCTGTAACAAGAAGAGTGGAACACTGGAAAAAAAAGAGTGGTTGTCAGACACCGTTTAACATGGGCACGTCTGGCTGGAGATGTAGCCACATGGGACACATTACTATCAGTAAAGCTGATCTGGAGTCTTCAGGGAGCAATCAATCTTCATGTAGTCAAACCAGGAGAAGTTCAGACTGCTCTGAGGTGACCAGGTCTACCAGGGCAGCAGAGGCCGCAGGGAGAAACAAACACACAACAGTTCGTCTCCAGCTCACTTCTATTACTCCATCTTTCTCTCTTCCACCTTCTCCATCCATCTCCATACTTCTCCTGTGCAGTGACCCGCCACAGGCCCATCACAGGTCACTTGTTTATTCACACATTTGGAGGGTTGTCTCCGGCTCTCCTGGGTAGAACTCTTACTTGTTTATAAGGCGACTCTGTATATTGTTTAGTGGTCACGGCATGAATCAGAGCAAACATTTCTCTTAGCTGGTCAGTCATACACATTGTTTTACAGACACAGAACCACTATTGTCTCTTTCATTACAACACTACCGTTGTTCCTTTTCCCTACTGCTCTTGCAGAACATAAACAATTGGGCAGGAATTTCCAGTCCGGGCCTGATTTTGCCCACTGCGGTGTCATTTGCTCCGCTCTGTTCTCTTTCTCAAAACTACCAGTTCCAATGACTGTGAAAGTCTGTGATTACAGGGTTCGGTCTGTGTACAAGCATTATAATTCTCAAACAAGGAAAAAGGTGGTTGACAGAGTTGGGTTCGCAGGTGATGTAATCTGAGCAGGAGTAACACGATCCGCTTGTTTTAATGTAGAACAATAGGCTGAAGTTGGTGTAGGTTTCCGCTAGTGAAATCTGTCAGCGTTGACATGATGTCAATGCAGAGATTTTGCTGGAAACCTGAAAATCCTGTTTGTCCTTAAGACAAACATCAGGGCTTTACAAGGAAAAAAGCAGGAACACAGACTCTGTATTGGTACCCACACTACATGGTTAGTGCACAGGCACCAAACAAATCAGTATTTTCTCACCATTCTTAAAGGTCACAGTTCTTCCTGTACCATCTATCATCTGTCTTTGGGTTTTTAACCTCGTCCAATGAGAGTGACTTGTTTCTCTCTTCCAATGCTGTAATTAGACGTCTGGGAATCTAGTGCAGAGGAGCGTTTATATTTTTAATTTACAGAAAAAATAACTAGACGCTTTGCTTTCTGGTTTAACTGGCACCGAGGAGGGAAACTTTTCAACCGGAGGATGATTATCCTTTTAATTTTGGTCCCAAGGGTGGCTGTCTTTTCTTCTCTTCTGCCTCTGGCAGTGCATGAGTGAGTTTAATAAATGTGCAGATGTGTGGATGAGTCAGACCGAGAGAAGACATTAAGAAATCACAAGACAGACAGACAGACAGATAGATAGATAGATAGATAGATAGATAGATAGATAGATAGATAGATAGATAGAGAGTGAGAGAGATAGAGAGATAGATAGATAGATAGGAAGGTTGATAGACAGACAGACAGACAGACAGACAGACAGACAGACAGACAGACAGATAGACAGATAGACAGATAGATAGATAGATAGATAGATAGATAGTTGGTCTTGGAGATAGGCAGTTACTTCATCAAAGAGTCTATCAGCACTGAAGTTTGTCTTAGCCTGCCAACCCTGGCTGTTTTCCAGCCTTATTTTCCAGCCAGAGAGAAACCCTTCAATCTGGGTGCATCTGATCTATTCACTGTCGCCATCCATACAGATGAGGAATCAAACAGGGCGCAGGCACACCCATGCCAGGAAGCCTACGTTAGCCCAAAGAGGCCACATCATTGTTTATTCAGCTTGAATGCATCATATCTTGGCAGCCAGGGTGAGAGTGGATAGAGCGGATAGACATCAAATTTTCAGTTCATAAGAACATAATCATGATGTTGCTAAGTAGCAGACCCTGTAAGCATAAGCAAACGCTAAAAGGAACACTTTCACGTCCCAACATTTGTGGGCATTTCTTCCTTTATTCAACAGGAGATGAACGTAAACTTTGTGCTGCATTCACGGATCCACAGAGCCGTTTTTTTTTTTTTTTTACCCCTCATCAAAACAAAAGAATGCCCCCGTCTATTGACCGTGAAAAGATGTTCATAGATTTGTCCCCAGTGAAGGGATGTCTTTGTTGGTTATCTCCATTGGTGAGCCGCCTCCATTTGGCTCAGCCTAATCAGAACACAAACACGCCTCTGTCATTTGGCTGCTCTCCCTCACACCCTCCATCTCTCCCTCTCCCTCAGTCTGTCTCTTATTAACTAACACTACAAATTAGATTCTATTTTCTCCCCCCTCAATTCAGTTTCGCCTCTTTTTTTCCCAATATCCCATCTTCCCCATTTGCTGGTTTATGGGTGTGTTTTTGTGAAAATGCAATAGAGAGAAAATCACACCAGATTGTTGTTCCCTTTGGCCCTCCTCCTCCCACCTTGGCCTCTGATTTGTTTTCTCTCTTTCATCTTCATTATATCTTATCAACTCATCTAGATGTTGCTGTGCGTGTGTGTGTGTGTGTGTGATTCTCTCCCTGAGGCTGAGGCATGGAGGCCTGGAGGCCTGGCATACATTAACTCTGCTTGTCCGTAAACAGCCTGGTTTCACTTGCTGGAGGAGAGGAGTTGTGATTTAAAGAGAGAGGCCTCGGGGAGAAGACTTGTGCTGGAGTACTCATGAATATGAGGTGGTCACATCCTGAAGATGTTAAAGATTATATTTTCTTTACACAATAGAAACACAATCACATTCGTTCCTCTTCAAATTCAGACAATGTGTAGCCAAACAAAGCTAGAAGATCAAGAAAGACATGTACAGAGAAAAAAGTGAAAAACAAAGAAATGAGTGTTCAAGTGCAGCTGAATCCAATTTTTACTCCACTCCTGCAAATTATTTATTAGAAGTGAAATGATAAACACAGCGAGGCTTTTACTGAGACTGATGTTCACACGAGGAAGACTTGTACAGAGTCTTTTCCCGAAGTTATTCTAAAGGCAACCATATTCAAAATACCACACCACAAAGTACAGTAAGAGCCACTGTACCTCTGAATCCTATAAGAGCTCTTTTTGGTGTTCAAGGGGATCTGACGCTGTACCCTATGCACACATATGTGATATACAGGCACTGAAAGGATGTGGTCAGATTAATGTGGGCGCAATCCAGCACAGGATATGTCGCTCCAGGTTCAGCAAGCTGTTTTTGAATCTTATATGATTCATTGCAATCATAACCC